CTTAATTATTATTATTATTATATTCGTACAGACTACCTCATCCACACCTAATGAAGGTTAAATTTGTCGTATTCAGTTTTCATGTTGTATATTTTTCTATGTTTGATAGAAATACTATACTATTTTATTGTCTAGAAATACTAAATATAATAATACCTATATTAGTACATACTTTAGTGTTTTATTCTATTTTTAGAGCCATTTATTCCTGTGTTTTCTTATTATTTAACATTTCTGTCTTGTGTCTCTAACCATGTGCCAATCTGTAAATCGCAGCTATCGTCTCATCGTGATGATGAAGCCATATCTGAACGCATCTCCCTCATCACGGGACTGCTAAAAGGTAGAATATATTGGTGTGAGGATGCTTCTGTCCCTGGATTTGTTAAACTATTGTGTATTCTCTTACATACGGGATTCGAAGTTCGCTAAGTCTCGAGTATTACTAAGACCTAATGAATATTGTATAAAGCACTCGGCGATAGACGATTATTGGCCAAGCATTTTATATTACATATTATTTAGAATAGTTACTTAAAAATACTGTAAAAGCTTGTTTTAAGTAACACTAATCTACTACTACTAGTCTCTAAAAAATAAAAAATAAAATTTTGGGGTGGACACCCCTTATCACTTACTGAATATGCATAGAAAATTTCATAAGAATCGGTCGAGCCGTTTCGGAGGAGTATGGGAACGAACATTGTGACACGAGAATTTTATATATTAGATAATAACGTATAGAGAAGCTGCGCTAAGCAAAAATATGTCGTAATTATTAAATTTTTACATATTAAGCGCTGGATTATTATACATTGTCTAACCATAGTATTATAAGATACAGCGCTCGATCGTATTAGGATACATTTTTGACGGGACCGAAAGGTCGCCATGAAACCTACATTTAGTTTCGATATTTTGACGTACGTTGTATTTTTTACAATGCCATTCGCATAGAAAAGAAATCACATGGAACAAATGTTCCAGTGTCTATGGCTCAAAATTTCTTGGACAAGTTGCTTAGTTTGAAAAAGTGTAGATACGAAACGTAAAGAAAATTAAATTATCCATCAAATGAAACAAAGCAGTTAATGTTGACTTTTTATTTAAATTATTGATTTTAAGTAAAAATAACGCTTGCGTGTATGAACTCCATGAACTTTAAACGTTTTAATTGGTACTCCATAATATCTTAAGTCTGCAAAGTACTAAGAGTTATGTGGTGAGGCCCGTGAGGGATCATGCAAACATAGATATCGATAAAAACTTTCCTAAACGTAGTGCTTTATGATGTAGCTATTAATTGGTAGTCCTTTAGTTAAATTAGTTTAATTAACAATAAATACTTTTGTCTTTTTAAAGTTTTAAGAATTACCGTCGGTACTATTCATTTACTGAAAATAAATAATGTCAGTAAAATTTTTTATTTTAAACAAATCTTTTCCCGCCTCGGCCATGATTACACCCGCCTCCCCTTTGCCCTTCCCTCTGATTCAAGAATTTGCTATACATTTGTGGACAGCGACATCTAGTAGTAAGTAGCATATTATGAATTATGATGACTTAACACTTCAAAGTATTAAAGATTTCGTGATTTGAATCCGAAATGTTATATTTACAAAAGTTTTAGCAAAAGTTCGCAATAGTTGAATCTTGAACTTATCCCTAAATTAAATGGTATCAATGTTTGAATCAAACAAAGTTTTCTGATTTCTTCTTATCAGTGGTGCCATCACACTATAGTCAGCATTTTCGAAATATTTTTTTTATAATGAAATTAAATGTCGTAAAGCACTATTACGATTTATTAAATGTTTTCTTATTTTTGACTTCCTTTTGTATATAACTAATTTGTTCCACAGTTTTTGTAAAACATATTATTATAAAAAAATACGAAGATTATTTTGTGCACAATGTTAGTAGGTAATACTCGTTTACCTAATTTTATTTTCCTGAAATAGATCGCAACAACCATAGAGTTGGTTTTAGTTTAGACTTCAGATTGTTATTCTACCAAATAATCATTAAAGTTAAAGCGACAGCTTCAAAACAAATAAAAAGTGGTAACAATATTTAGTATGTCCATAGATACTGTTACAATTAAAAATAAACAAAATATTACATTTGAATATGGAATCGGTCAATTTAAAATGATTGTTCATTGAGTTTTCTCATTTTGAAACTCTCAAGAAAAAGATCTGGTTGTCCACTTAGTGTTCGTACGAAAAAGGTGGTCAAAGCAGTAAGGGTAAGAATGCGAAGAAATCCTGTCCGAAAGGAAAAGATTTTATCTCGCGAGATGAAGATAGCACCTAGAACCATGTCACGTATCCGGGCTCTTGCTTGCAAATTCAGCCCCACATGAAGTACTGTTCTCATCTCTGAGTGGAAACTCCACAGTACCAGCTCCTTCCACTTGACCGTCTTCAACAAAGAGCGGTTCGAATCGTCGACGACCAATCCCTGTCTGAGCGGCTTGATCTCTCTGCATCTTCCACCACATTGGAGAGTGTCCAGAGGAGTGGTTCGGACTAATACCTGCAGCTGAGTTTCATCAACGGACGTCAAAACAGAATACAAATATCCACCCGTATCATCTCGACGTCTGAGCCTACAACTGAGCGGTATTTAAGCCAGTTTTTGCCGCGCACCACCACTACGTTAAATCAGCTACCCGCCGCAGTATTTTTGGAACAATTCGACTTAGGGTCCTACAAGAAAAGAGCGTATTAATTACAAAGGCCACCAACGCACTGTGAGTCCTCAGCCATTGACACTCTCAATGGGCGCAATCTCTTAACATCAGATGAACCTTCTGCCCGTTTGCCCCCTGTCAATGTCAATGTAACAACAAAGATCATTAAGTGTACCTAAGTGTTATCCCTTCATCAACTCAGCATCGAAATCGAGATTTTTACATAGGGATGGGACGGAACTCCAGCGAGACAGTTTTATTTGCTCATCCAAGTATCAGAGGTCTCGAAACTCCGACTAATAGATATTTATATATATATATATATATATATATAATATAAGATTTTACAAATTTCTGTATTTGTCCCGTGATTATTTCTTATAGACCAACCTTCTCCGCCTGACACTCCGTCGATTTTTTTTGGTCACATAGACAGTAAGTGCATTGGTGTCTGGAATCTTAGATTTTAGAGCAGTGGGGCAGTAGGTTCGATCCTCGGCAGGTCACCAATGGACTTTCTATGTGCGCATTTGACATTCGCTCGAACGGTAAAGAAAAACATAGTGATGCAATCGGCTTGCCCTAGACACAAGAAAGTCGACGGCCTGTGCCAGGCACAGGAGGCTGATCACCTACTTGCCTATAAGATTGACAAATGATCACAGAAATCTGAGGCACAGACCTAAAAAGGTTATAGTGCTAGTCAAGTTCGGTGACAGTTTTTTGTATGGAGATGTTCAATTAAAACTCTTTGTTTGAAGCTGGGTAACAACTAACTTTAATGGTTTAAAATATGAGCTTATAACTAAGATAACGTTAAGGGTGGAGGGGTTGCGACGCTAATACAAACAAACTTGGTTTATCTAAGGGTTCATAAATCTAAATGACACTTATGTTATTGGACATTATCGGAAACGAGAATGTTAAAATACAATTTATAAGTGTGGTAAAAACTAAAGGGCTCATATTAGCTTCAAGTGTGCGATGATTGTTTACATTTGTTTACGATTCTCATTTTTAACTAAAATATATATGTTACTTAACAAATTTTGAGTTACATAACTACTGATTTTTTAATGATCTATAACCAATAGTTATTAGACCAATGACCTCTGGCCGGGTTGTACACATAATAGGATTGTTAACAGGAATATATGTCTCACAAAAATATTGACCCATTTTTCACGTTAAATATATTTAATAGTAAACATCTATGCTATAGCATAAATGTTTACTTGTTAAATGCGCAAATGTCTATTGTTAATGGTTATGAATTTATATTACATCTGTGCAAATAAGTCTACCAATTTTATTGAAATTCTTTTACCAATTTTGTCGCTCGGATATGCTTAATTTTATTAAATTCCATCCAGCGACAACAGATCCTAAGAGCAATTCTAAAAGCAAAACTGAAGTATTTTCGAACCAATTCGACTTAAGAAAAGAGCGTACCAATTCTTAAAAGGCCGGCAACGCACTCGCGAGCCCTCTGGCTTTGAGAGTGTCCATGGGCGGCGGTATCACTTAACCAGATGAGCCTCCTGCCCGTTTGCGCCCTGTTCTATAAAAAAAAATTGGAAGAGTACCATGGTACATAACTGCCTCCTGTGCCTGACACAAGCCGTCGACTTTTTATGTCTGGGCAAGACGGTTTCCTCACGATGTTTTCCTTCACCGTTCGAGCGAATGTTAAATGCACACATAGAAAGACAGTCCATTGGTGCACAGCGGGGGATCGAACCTACGACCTCAGGGATGAGAGTCGCACGCCGAAGCCACTAGGCCCACCCTGCTGACTTATTACCATAACGAGTTGTTATTCGTTAGTTATAGTTTTTATAAAGTTGCGAACCTGGGCCACAAGTTGCACCATGACCGCTACTACCTGCTTTAATAATAATATGTGAAATCCAGGATTAACGCGTTGGTTTAAAAAAATCATGTCTTCGTAACGTTAGGGAGTGGATGGCGACTGCGGAAGAGTTGCTGCATCTGTCACAATGCAAGACACGCTTGACTGACAGCCAATCTCCAGTAATGATGCACAAAAAGAAGAAGCTTTGTTGTCCAATATGTCTTAACAACAATTGTACAAAATGAACATACAGACGAATTCATTATAAGTAAATCAATAAATTAAACAAATATATTTATTCAGTTGTAATTGATAATTTATTGCCTATTATCTTATTAAAATTTATTTTGTTTTTTCTGTCTCAAAATTCGTATAAAAGCTCGAAATAATTGTGATCAAATCATAGTTTGGGTTACGGTCATAAACGGATCCTAAGATCCTAAGGCCAAGATGATTCTCACTTTCGTGCTCTTCGTTTTAAGCGTAAGTTATTTTATATTTATTTATCCATCTCGTAATATTTAATCAGTATAACAATACTTTAAAATATATTTAAAATGTATGTCTAACCAAGAACAAAATTACGGATTATGGCCATTACGAAATGTCAATTCCAAGAAGGTCGCCATTTTTTTTGAGGCGCTATATTTGGTATATACTTTATTGGCAATGTTACTTATCTGTGGCCGTGTTTGTTGTGCTTTTAGCGCTATTACTGCATAAGTAAAACGGAGAATATTTACAATTATAATGTAAATATTCAGCCCTGCGATTCTGTAACTCACTTTTCGAACTCTCACAGCGGTTATCGCAGCGGCGGTCGCTCTCAAATCAGTCGTGAAGCAGTCATTTTATGATTTGGCATTCTGAAAAGATCCCCGCTTGTGGTTTATTGTTTATTAGAATGCCAAATCATAAAATGACTGCTTCACGACTGATTTGAGAGCGACCGCCGATGCGAAAACAGCTGTGTGAGTTCGAAAAGTGAGTTACAGAATCGCAGGGCTGTGTCCAAAACAAAATTATTGATTTCCTGGTAATCTAATAAGATGTTCAAATAATCCGAACCCATGCCTGTACTACAGGTACAGCAACACACATACCATAAAAATTTGGCTTCACTGGGATTTTGGGATATTGTTGATATCTTCTTACTAGATATTGGACATTGCATAATCGCGTTGGCAATATTTTGGTTCAGTTTTAGAAGATAATTGAAATAGGAATTCTTTGTCTATATGGCAAGATGATCAACCTTTCTGTGAAAAACATATAGTTTTTCTAGGAATCAAATCTAGCAATGTTATACTCCGATGCTATAGTACAATTATTGTGACAAATTTTACGATTTTTATTGTTATTTATTTCAGATACTGCAAGTTCATGCTGCTCCTCAAGGTATATAAAATTTAATCGTGTTTTTAAATTATTTTTACCAGAGTTAGAATCCAATTTAACAATTTAATTATTTTACAGAGCCTGGCTTTCAATGGCCTGTACCAGGTATGTCAATTGTCAATTATCCGCCTCAGCGATCAACGATTGGTGTCTAAAACCAGTGATATTTTAAATATTTTGATTTATTTGATATACCTACCAGAGTATCCGACATTAACCCAGAAGTAATGTCATAGGCAACTCAAATATTTTTTTAAAATGACAATTTAAAGATTGTACTAAAATTACACATAAAAATATTTTATATGTTAAATAGCGTTACAAGCTATAATTAATACTTTCTTGTCAATTTTTGTTTATCGTCAAGTAGAAATTCACATTGCAATATATAGAGACTATTAAACAATTTAATCTTATTAAAAGTTTTTACAGTATTTTTAAGTTAATTTAAGTTTAAATATTGAATATAAAATGCTTGGACAACAATCGTCTCTCGCTGAGAGCTTTATACGAATATTCATAGGCCTTAGTAATAGTCGAGACTTAGCGCGAACTTCGAATCCCGTATGTAAGAGAATACACAATAGTTCAACTAATCCAGGGACAGAAGCGCATAGCATCCTCACACAAAAATACACTACCGTTTAGCCGTCCCTTGATAAGGGAGATGCGCTCAGATATTGCTTCATCATAACGATGAGACGATAGCGATTTACAGCTAGGCACAAGAAAAAATATAAGAAAACGGGAATAAATAGCTCTAAGAATACAGTATTCAAAATTATGACGCAAATGCTGAAGTATTTCCATACTATAAAAAATCAAATATTGCAATATGCCTTTCCACTTATGTTTTTTCCAATAGGATAGTGCAACAATAATTTTTCTTCGGTACGAATTAACCGGATATTAGAAGAGAATAATAACGCCTTGGAAATAATAAAAATACTCACTTGCCGGAACATTGATAGGCGTCGTGTCAATAAAAAATTTTCGATATTAACGTTAGTAGTTTGAAACCTGTAAAAAAATCTTATTTATCGTATTAGCGAATTCAAAAGGTCGAATCAAAATTTAAGCTGAATTATAAGTGGAATCGTCCAAGGCGATTAAAGGCCAGCCCCCTGTTTCCTAAGCAATTGACATAAGCGTTAATTGCAGATGATGATGTAGAATACGACGTGACCACCACAAAGACTTTGGATCGATTCGGTCATCCAATTTATACCGTGAACATGGTACCGATTGGTAAGTAAGGTCCGACAGGTCGAGATAGGCATAATTAGACCGTTGATTAAACGCACATTTTGTTGCGTAAATTACTAAATAAAACACCACGTTAAAACGACAGTAGTACTTTTAGAAGTAAAACCTAACTTAAATTTTATGGACATTTGGTCAGATAATAATATTTGCTCTTTCAGAGTACGGTGGTGTAACACATGGTTACTCGACGGCAAACGCTCAATCGCAGGGGTCGTCGTATGGCGGTGACCAAGCCAAAAGTTACCGTAATGGTAATTCCGGTTACGACGCATACTCTCAAAACAATGGACAGGCCAATAGTGCTGCAACCTCTGGAAGTAGCTATTTGGCAAATTATGGACCAGGAAGCAGCTATGTAAAATCTTCTAATTCTAGAGCGAATGCACAGAGCGCTTCTAGCAATTCTCAAAACAGTTTTAATGGTTATAATGGTTAGTAGTATTTTTATATTACATCTATTTTCTGTGAGGAAGACTTTTTAAAGCAATTATTGTAATTCAATCACGTGTTTCTTTTTTTAGGTGCACCAGTTCCTCAGAATTATTATAATCAATATTATAACCCACCACCGTACGTACCTCCAACTTCATACCCTCCTCAAGCAGTACCAGCTTACCCACCATTTGCATACCAAGGGTATCCACCCAACTTCTATCCCGGGAATACACCCAGAACTCCCCCATTCTACCCTGGCTTCAAAAATCCCAACTACCCTGTTCATACGATTCCTAATAATCCTATCCCAATAGTCCCCTTAACTCAACCAGTACAACGTGTTCCAGTTCAATTACCCATATCACAAAGTGTTCCAATACCAAGGCCATTTCCTCCATTGACTCCAGTCATTCCTATTTCTCAACTACCCTTACCTCAGCCCATTGTACCAAGTGTTCAAATACCAATAAATACAGCACAGACAACAACCTACACTAGCAATGCGTCTGGAAACGCTTATGCCACAAGCTCTACGCCTATAAGGGGAACTAATAGTTACAACTATGGAACTAGCACTGCCGCTGGCTCAGGATCAGGCTCTGGCACATCCTCCACTGGAAACAACGGAGGAACAAGCTCTGCTGCTGGCTCAGGATCAGGCTCTGGCTCTACATCTAGTGGAAACACAGGAGGAACTAGCTCTGCCGCTGGCTCAGGATCAGGCTCTAGCTCTACATCTAGTGGAAACACAGGAGGAACTAGCTCTGCCGCTGGCTCAGGATCAGGCTCTAGCTCTACATCTAGTGGAAACACAGGAGAAACTATCTCTGCCGCTGGCTCAGGATCAGGCTCTGGCTCTACATCTAGTGGAAACACAGGTGAAACTAGCTCTGCCGCTGGCTCAGGATCAGGCTCTGGCTCTACATCAAGTGGAAACACAGGAGGAACTAGCTCTGCCGCTGGCTCAGGATCAGGCTCTGGCTCTACATCTAGTGGAAACACAGGAGAAACTAGCTCTGCCGCTGGCTCAGGATCAGGCTCTGGCTCTACATCAAGTGGAAACACAGGAGGAACTAGCTCTGCCGCTGGCTCAGGATCAGGCTCTGGCTCTACATCTAGTGGAAACACAGGAGGAACTAGCTCTGCCCCTGGCTCAGGATCAGGCTCTGGCTCTACATCTAGTGGAAACACAGGAGGAACTAGCTCTGCCGCTGGCTCAGGATCAGGCTCTGGCACATCCTCTACTGGAAACAAAGGAGAAACTAGCTCTGCCACTGGCTCAGGATCAGGCTCTGCCGCTGGCTCAGGATCAGGCTCTGGCACATCCTCTACTGGAAACAAAGGAGGAACTAGCTCTGCCGCTGGCTCAGGATCAGGCTCTGGCTCTACATCTAGTGGAAACACAGGAGGAACTAGCTCTGCCGCTGGCTCAGGATCAGGCTCTAGCTCTACATCTAGTGGAAACACAGGAGGAACTAGCTCTGCCGCTGGCTCAGGATCAGGCTCTGGCTCTACATCTAGTGGAAACACAGGAGGAACTAGCTCTGCCGCTGGCTCAGGATCAGGCTCTGGCTCTACATCTAGTGGAAACACAGGAGGAACTAGCTCTGCCGCTGGCTCAGGATCAGGCTCTGGCACATCCTCTACTGGAAACAACGGAGGAACAAGTTCTGCCGCTGGCTCAGGATCAGGCTCTGGCTCTACATCTAGTGGAAACACAGGAGAAACTAGCTCTGCCGCTGGCTCAGGATCAGGCTCTGGCTCTACATCAAGTGGAAACACAGGAGGAACTAGCTCTGCCGCTGGCTCAGGATCAGGCTCTGGCTCTACATCTACTGGAAACAAAGGAGGAACTAGCTCTGCCGCTGGCTCAGAATCAGGCTCTAGCTCTACATCTAGTGGAAACACAGGAGGAACTAGCTCTGCCGCTGGCTCAGGATCAGGCTCTGGCACATCATCTACTGGAAACAACGGAGGAACAAGCTCTGCCGCTGGCTCAGGATCAGGCTCTGGCTCTACATCTAGTGGAAACACAGGAGGAACTAGCTCTGCCGCTGGCTCAGGATCAGGCTCTGGCACATCATCTACTGGAAACAACGGAGGAACAAGCTCTGCCGCTGGCTCAGGATCAGGCTCTGGCTCTACATCTAGTGGAAACACAGGAGGAACTAGCTCTGCCGCTGGCTCAGGATCAGGCTCTGGCACATCATCTACTGGAAACAACGGAGGAACAAGCTCTGCCGCTGGCTCAGGATCAGGCTCTGGCTCTACATCTAGTGGAAACACAGGAGGAACTAGCTCTGCCGCTGGCTCAGGATCAGGCTCTGGCACATCCTCTACTGGAAACAACGGAGGAACAAGTTCTGCCGCTGGCTCAGGATCAGGCTCTGGCTCTACAGCTAGTGGAAACACAAGAGAAACTAGCTCTGCTGCTGGCTCAGAATCAGGCTCTGGCTCTACATCTAGAGGAAACACAGGAGAAACTATCTCTACCGCTGGCTCAGGATCAGGCTCTGGCTCTACATCTAGTGGAAACACAGGTGGAACTAGCTCTGCCGCTGGCTCAGGATCAGGCTCTGGCACATCCTCTACTGGAAACAACGGAGGAACAAGCTCTGCCGCTGGCTCAGGATCAGGCTCTGGCTCTACATCTAGTGGAAACACAGGAGGAACTAGCTCTGCCGCTGGCTCAGGATCAGGCTCTGGCACATCATCTACTGGAAACAACGGAGGAACAAGCTCTGCCGCTGGCTCAGGATCAGGCTCTGGCTCTACATCTAGTGGAAACACAGGAGGAACTAGCTCTGCCGCTGGCTCAGGATCAGGCTCTGGCACATCATCTACTGGAAACAACGGAGGAACAAGCTCTGCCGCTGGCTCAGGATCAGGCTCTGGCTCTACATCTAGTGGAAACACAGGAGGAACTAGCTCTGCCGCTGGCTCAGGATCAGGCTCTGGCACATCCTCTACTGGAAACAACGGAGGAACAAGTTCTGCCGCTGGCTCAGGATCAGGCTCTGGCTCTACAGCTAGTGGAAACACAAGAGAAACTAGCTCTGCTGCTGGCTCAGAATCAGGCTCTGGCTCTACATCTAGAGGAAACACAGGAGAAACTATCTCTACCGCTGGCTCAGGATCAGGCTCTGGCTCTACATCTAGTGGAAACACAGGTGGAACTAGCTCTGCCGCTGGCTCAGGATCAGGCTCTGGCACATCCTCTACTGGAAACAACGGAGGAACAAGTTCTGCCGCTGGCTCAGGATCAGGCTCTGGCTCTACATCTAGTGGAAACACAGGAGGAACTAGCTCTGCCGCTGGCTCAGGATCAGGCTCTGGCACATCTTCTACTGGAAACAAAGGAGGAACTAGCTCTGCCGCTGGCTCAGGATCAGGCTCTGGCTCTACATCTAGTGGAAACACAGGAGGAACTAGCTCTGCCGCTGGCTCAGGATCAGGCTCTGGCACATCCTCTACTGGAAACAACGGAGGAACAAGTTCTGCCGCTGGCTCAGGATCAGGCTCTGGCTCTACATCTAGTGGAAACACAGGAGGAACTAGCTCTGCCGCTGGCTCAGGATCAGGCTCTGGCACATTATCTACTGGAAACAACGGAGGAACAAGCTCTGGCTCTGGCTATGGATCAGGCTCTGGCTCTAGCTCAGGTGGAGACACACGAGGAACCAGTTCTGGCTCTGCTTATGGATCAGGCTCTGGCTCTAGTTCTGGCGGACACACAGGAGGAACTAGCTCTGGCTCTGGCTTCGGATCAGGTATTGGCTCTAGCTCTGGCGGAAACACAGGAGGAACTAGCTCTGGCTCTGGCTTCGGATACGGCTCTGGCTCTAGCTCAGGTGGAAACTCAGGAGGAACTAGCTCTGGCTCTGGCTATGGATCAGGCTCTGGCTCTAGTTCTGGCGGACACACAGGAGGAACTAGCTCTGGCTCTGGCTATGGATCAGGCTCTGGCACATCCTCTACTGGAAACAACGGAGGAACTAGCTCTGCCGCTGGCTCAGGATCAGGCTCTGGCTCTAGCTCTGGCGGAAACAAAGAAGGAACTAGCTCTGGCTCTGGCTATGGATCAGGCTCTGGCTCTAGCTCAGGTGGAGACACACGAGGAACTAGTTCTGGCTCTGGCTATGGATCAGGCTATGGCTCTAGCTCTGGCGAAAACAAAGGAGAAATAACCTCTGGCTCTGGCTATGGATCAGGCTCTGGCTCTAGCTCAGGTGGAGACACACGAGGAACTAATTCTGGCTCTGGCTATGGATCAGGCTATGGCTCTAGCTCTAGCGGAAACAAAGGAGAAATAACCTCTGGCTCTGGCTATGGATCAGGCTATGGCTCTAGCTCTGGCGAAAACAAAGGAGAAATAACCTCTGGCTCTGGCTATGGATCAGGCTCTGGCTCTAGCTCAGGTGGAAACAAAGGAGGAACTAGCTTTGCCGCTGGCTCAGGATCAGGCTCTGGCACATCCACTACTGGAAACAACGGAGGAACTAGCTTTGCCGCTGGCTCAGGATCAGGCTCTGGCACATCCTCTACTGGAAACAAAGGAGAAACTAGCTCTGCCACTGGCTCAGGATCAGGCTCTGCCGCTGGCTCAGGGTCAGGCTCTGGCACATCCTCTACTGGAAACAACGGAGGAACTAGCTCTGCCACTGGCTCAGGATCAGGCTCTGGCACATCCTCTACTGGAAACAACGGAGGAACTAGCTCTGCCGCTGGCTCAGGATCAGGCTCTGGCACATCCTCTACTGGAAACAAAGGAGAAACTAGCTCTGCCACTGGCTCAGGATCAGGCTCTGCCGCTGGCTCAGGATCAGGCTCTGGCACATCCTCTACTGGAAACAAAGGAGGAACTAGCTCTGCCGCTGGCTCAGGATCAGGCTCTGGCACATCCTCTACTGGAAACAATGGAGGAACAAGCTCTGGCTCTGGCTTCGGATCAGGCTCTGGCTCTAGTTCTGGCGGACACACAGGAGGAACTAGCTCTGGCTCTGGCTATGGATCAGGCTCTGGCTCTAGCTCAGGTGGAAACACAGGAGGAACTAGCTCTGGCTCTGGTTATGGATCTGGCTCTGGCTCTAGCTCTGGCGGAAACAAAGGAGGAACTAGCTCAGGCTCTGGCTCAGGATCAGGCTCTGGCACATCCTCTACTGGAAACAACGGAGGAACTAGCTCTGCCGCTGGCTCAGGATCAGGCTCTGGCTCTAGCTCTGGCGGAAACAAAGAAGGAACTAGCTCTGGCTCTGGCTATGGATCAGGCTCTGGCTCTAGCTCAGGTGGAGACACACGAGGAACTAGTTCTGGCTCTGGCTATGGATCAGGCTATGGCTCTAGCTCTGGCGGAAAAAAAGGAGAAATAACCTCTGGCTCTGGCTATGGATCAGGCTATGGCTCTAGCTCTGGCGAAAACAAAGGAGAAATAACCTCTGGCTCTGGCTATGGATCAGGCTCTGGCTCTAGCTCTGGCGGAAACAAAGGAGGAACTAGCTTTGCCGCTGGCTCAGGATCAGGCTCTGGCACATCCTCTACTGGAAACAACGGAGGAACTAGCTTTGCCGCTGGCTCAGGATCAGGCTCTGGCACATCCTCTACTGGAAACAAAGGAGAAACTAGCTCTGCCACTGGCTCAGGATCAGGCTCTGCCGCTGGCTCAGGGTCAGGCTCTGGCACATCCTCTACTGGAAACAATGGAGGAACTAGCTCTGCCACTGGCACAGGATCAGGCTCTGGCACATCCTCTACTGGAAACAACGGAGGAACTAGCTCTGCCGCTGGCTCAGGATCAGGCTCTGGCACATCCTCTACTGGAAACAAAGGAGAAACTAGCTCTGCCACTGGCTCAGGATCAGGCTCTGCCGCTGGCTCAGGATCAGGCTCTGGCACATCCTCTACTGGAAACAAAGGAGGAACTAGCTCTGCCGCTGGCTCAGGATCAGGCTCTGGCACATCCTCTACTGGAAACAATGGAGGAACAAGCTCTGGCTCTGGCTTCGGATCAGGCTCTGGCTCTAGTTCTGGCGGAAACACAGAAGGAACTAGCTTTGGCTCTGGCTATGGATCAGGCTCTGGATCTAGTTCTGGCGGACACACAGGAGGAACTAGCTCTGGCTCTGGCTTCGGATCAGGCTCTGGCTCTAGCTCAGGTGGAAACACAGGAGGAACTAGCTCTGGCTCTGGTTATGGATCTGGCTCTGGCTCTAGCTCTGGCGGAAACAAAGGAGGAACTAGCTCAGGCTCTGGCTCAGGATCAGGCTCTGGCACATCCTCTACTGGAAACAACGGAGGAACTAGCTCTGCCGCTGGCTCAGGATCAGGCTCTGGCACATCCTCTACTGGAAACAAAGGAGAAACTAGCTCTGCCGCTGGCTCAGGATCAGGCTCTGGCACATCCTCTACTGGAAACAACGGAGGAACTAGCTCTGCCGCTGGCTCAGGATCAGGCTCTGGCACATCCTCTACTGGAAACAAAGGAGGAACTAGCTCTGCCGCTGGCTCAGGATCAGGCTCTGGCACATCCTCTACTGGAAACAAAGGAGGAACTAGCTCTGCCGCTGGCTCAGGATCAGGCTCTGGCACATCCTCTACTGGAAACAACGGAGGAACAAGCTCTGCCGCTGGCTCAGGATCAGGCTCTGGCACATCCTCTACTGGAAACAAAGGAGAAACTAGCTCTGCCACTGGCTCAGGATCAGGCTCTGGCACATCCTCTACTGGAAACAACGGAGGAACCAGCTCTGCCGCTGGCTCAGGATCAGGATCTGGCACATCCTCTACTGGAAACAACGGAGGAACTAGCTCTGCCGCTGGCTCAGGATCAGGCTCTGGCACATCCTCTACTGGAAACAAAGGAGGAACTAGCTCTGCCGCTGGCTCAGGATCAGGCTCTGGCACATCCTCTACTGGAAACAAAGTAGGAACTAGCTCTGCCGCTGGCTCAGGATCAGGCTCTGGCACATCCTCTACTGGAAACAACGGAGGAACAAGCTCTGCCGCTGGCTCAGGATCAGGCTCTGGCTCTAGTTCTGGCGGACACACAGGAGGAACTAGCTCTGGCTCTGGGTTCGTATCAGGCTCTGGCTCTCACTCTGGCGGAAACACAGGAGGAACTAGCTCTGGCTCTGGCTATGGATCAGGCTCTGGCTCTATTTCTGGCGGACACACAGGAGGAACTAGCTCTGGCTATGGATCAGGCTCTGGCTCTATTTCTGGCGGACACACAGGAGGAACTAGCTCTGGCTCTGGCTTCGGATCAGGCTCTGGCTCTAGCTCAGGTGGAAACACAGGAGGAACTAGCTCTGGCTCTGGCTATAGATCTGGCTCTGGCTCTAGTTCTGGATCTAGCACTGGGTCTGGCGTTGGTGTTACAGGTAAGTTAACCACATTGTTTGTTGTTCTTGTTAACTGTCTTAATTTGTTACACGCTCAATAACAAATTTCTTTTTCGACTATTTGATTTCGATAACAAGCTTTAATTTCAAGGTTACGTTAAATATATGTCAGTGATTACAAAGGCAAATGTAGCAGTCATATACTTTTTGTTTCTTTCGGCTTTTTTATATTCTGTGTTAGGTGCGAACAAAAGACCTTACGTTTTCAAATGGAGTTCAGCCAGGACTGCTATAAAGTAACAAACTAATTTTTGTTCGATTTCTATCTACATCTTAATATATATAAATTACATGTCACGTTGTTTGTCCGCTATGGACTCATAAACTACCGAACCGATATCAATCAAATTTGTACACCGTGTGCGGTTTGATCTTACTTAAAAGATAGGATAGCTTACATCTCAATTTATACCCGCAATATTATTTTATTGCTAAATATTGGTTTATTATTTGATAGTCACAATTCTAACAGATGGCGCTGTGTTGAAAGTACCAACGTTTCACATAAGCTACAATTTATTGGCATAACCACCAAAAAAGCATGGTGGTCCCCATGACTGGTGTTCTCCTACCGTTTCCCTTGAATAGTTTGCTACTATGTAATATAACATAGTAGTCTGCTAGTATACATATATATATATATTTCTACATTCCGCTTTTAGGAACCCGTATTGTATAACGCTTTCGAATTCCAGTTATCGAACCAGTCATCCCCGGAATCGTACCTTACCCGCATTCAAAGGGCAAACTGTGCATTTGCTTCGGTAACTACTTTGAGATGCCAGCAGTCCTTCGCAATCAATTTAGATTTTACTAAACCGATACCTATAAGTAAGCAAGCATTTTAAAAATCAATCTATGTATTGAACCAAAAATATTAATAAATGAATAAAGAAATTGTGTTTATTTTTATTTCACTACACTTGGTTCTAACCCAAGTGTCAAAATCATGAATTTCTTATTATTGTTTTCACACAGACGCACTACGTTTGCCCGTAAATACAGAGTTACGTTATTTTTATTTTATTTTATTTTACAATTTTAGGGAAACTTACAGCTAAAAAGGTTCAATAGTATACAATTAACATGATGACGGCCAATTATCAGTTTCCACACTTACACATTATCACATCATTACACACCAACGCTCAAAAAACTCTCAAGGCTATATTAAAAACTAAGTCTCAAAGTATCGGCCACAAAGGGCTTTCTTCGTTGCAGTAACACTTGTGCAGAACAAGTCCAAATTAAGCTCCAGACATGCCACATTAAAAGAACGACATGCTCGCAATAGGTAAGAATTTTTTCTGTATGTAGTTCGTGCTATGGGGACGTATAATAAATTTGGTCCGCGCAGAAACAATGATGGTGCGTACAGGCCCACCCTAGATAACAGTTCTGGCAACTCAGCCGCACCATTAAGTAAAGACACTAGGAACGTAATGTCCGATATTTTTCTACGCTCAGCTAAAGGCAAAATATGAAACTTTTTCCAGCGTGTATGATAGTCAGGCAGGTAACAATTAGATTTAAATTGAATGTACCTTAAAAATTTTCTTTGTATACTTTCAAGGCGGTCTATATAAATGTTGTATATTGGGTTCCATACCTGTGAGGCATAATCGAGGTGACTACGAACGAAAGAGCAATATAATATTTTAATGGTTTTAATTTTCTGAAAGTCGGACGAGATTCTTATAATGAAACCTAACGCTTTCGTGGCTTTATTAATGATGCTCTCAATATGCAGATCAAAGAGAAGTTTGCTGTCAAATAAAACTCCAAGATCTTTTACAGATCCAACTCTTACTAAAATAGAATCTTGAAGTTTATAGGGAAAGGCAATGGGGTGGAGTTTGCGAGTAAATGTACAAATGTAACAATTAGATACATTCAAGTCGAGCCCGTTCAGTACACAATAATTTTGAAAGCGGTCCAGATCTTCTTGTAAAGATAGTGCATCAGCGACAGAGTTAATTTGTTTCATGATTTTCATGTCGTCTGCATACAGTAGAATTTTGGACGACTGAAAACAATGTGTGATGTCGTTAACAAAATATTAAAGAGAAGTGGGCCCAGAAGCGATCCTTGTGGGACTCCTGAAGGTATATATCTAGTTCTTGACGAGTATCCATTCAACACCACAGTCTGACATCGATTCTCTACGTACGATGAGAACCATCTGAATAGATAACCCCGTATACCCATGGAAGATAACTTGCTTAAAAGTATGTTGTGGTCGATTTTGTCGAAACATTTGCTATAGTCTGTGTATATAACATCCACCTGGGATCCATTAGCCATGGAGTCTGATATAAAGTCACTACAGAGGATCAAATTTGACGTAGTCGACCGACCCTTTATAAAACCGTGTTGGTATTCACAAAAGTCCAGTTTCAGTGCTGCATATACTTGTCTGTAAACGATTTTTTCCATAATTTTAGCGAATGCACACAACTTAGATATAGGTCTGTAATTTTCAACGACGGCTTTTGATCCTTTTTTCAGGACAGGTGTTATATACGCAGACTTCCACAAAGTGGGAACTACTCCGGAAGTAAGTGATAATTGGAATAAAATTGATAGTGGTAAAGTCAGGCTATCGGCGCAATTTACTATAAACACTGGTGGAATATTGTCAGGCCCCGGTGACTTGTTTAGATCCACATGTTTCAAGAATCTATATACTTCATCCCTATTAATTTCTATTGACCCGATATCAGTGCCGAAACAAGCAGCCCCCTCGGGTACGGTCTGTGTGTTGATTGGTGGCGAGTTGTTATTGGCAGCGCTCGGTTCCAAAAAATTTGAATAAAAGTAGTCGCTGAACATGTTGGATATAACATCCCCATCCCCAGATGAATGATTTCCATACTGTAGTACAGAGGGATAGCAATTGGACTGCTTTTTTGATTTTACATAAGCCCAAAAAGCTTTAGGATTGCGCTTTATGTTTGATTCTATACCAGATATATAATTGTTAAACAACTCTTTTTCTAAATCTTTCACCCTCTGTCGTAAAACGACAAATGAATGATGATCCGAGAGGTTTTTATATTTTTTAAACTTTAAATGATATTTAGCTTTCTCCTTTATTATTTTGATTAGAGAGCTATTATACCAGACTGGGAATTTTGACTGTATGGTTACAATTCTAGATGGAATGTAGATGTTACGCTGGTCGTTGATAGTATCATAGAAATACGATACAGCATCTTCCAAGGATCTACGCCTCAGTTCATAGTCCCAGTTCACGGAATCCAAATTTCGTTTTATGGCATTGTAATCGCCCTTGTTATACAAATATTGTAAGCGAGGACGAGTGGGTAGACTGTGCAACTGAACGAACTCGACCGAAATGCAAAGCGCTTTATGTTGGTGATCTTCGCATACCAGGGGATCAGCGCAGCAGGTAACAGAAATATCGTTATTGGATAGTACAAGATCCAAAATCCTATTGTTAATATTGTGGAAGCAATTATATTGTGAAAGATTACAGATATTCAAATTGTCTATAAAATTCCTTTGAACATCTCCCTGTATGTCACTCGAATAGAGAGAAGAGAGATCATTTGTCTGACACCACTTAATATTCGGTTGATTAAAGTCGCCAAGTATTAAAAATGCATCAGAAGGATATTTCAGAACAAGGTCAGCCAAACTATAAGAAAAATTATTCAGGTGAACTGCTAATGTATTGCCCAAATTTTCGTTACAAATGTAGACAACACAGATGTGTATTTATTTTAGCATAATTACGATCTCGTCTCCAAACAAGATACCGATTATCGAACAACTCGGAATCCGAGATACCCTCCAAAAGCCACGTTTCAGTAATACATATAATATTATAGTTATAAACACACACATTTCTGTAAAAAGTACTCGTTTTTGTTCGTAGCCCCCGAACATTTTGGTAGAAAATATTAAGCGGAGCCATTGCAAATATTATCATAAAATACAACACAATAATAAATATGTGGGGTGCATTCTAATCGATGTGAATAAATATATTGCCCCACCAATGAAATGCAAATAAGCACCTTACTGGTACATAGTATTGTCTTTGATTAACATAACCTTTACACATTTAAAGAAAAACGCTTTTTACCGGATTAAAGTTATGTTTATTATTATAAATTTACAACTATTTGACATAATTTTAAATATATCCGACGTTTCGCGTGCTTTACAGCGTGCGTGGTCACGGTGACTGAAGACAAAAGATGTTGAATTGAAATTGGGGTGTTTATAAGATATGTATTCAATAGAGAAGACGGCCTAAAATTGTCAAACACCTGGGATCCAATAATATCCAAATTAAAATCTCAAAAAGAAAAACAATCCGCGAAAATAGAGGACACCGTGAGCCATTTTTGCCAAAACCCTCCATCTTTTAGTCGATACCAACTCCGGGGAAATAAATACAGATAATGCAACTTTCTCTGCAGCTGTGATACTTTTTGACATTCAACATCTTTTGTCTTCAGTCACCGTGACCACGCACGCTGTAAAGCACGCGAAACGTCGGATAAATTTAAAATTATGTCAAATAGTTGTAAATTTATAATAATAAACATAACTTTAACCCGGTAAAAAGCGTTTTTCTTTACCTTACTAGTATACAAGTTAAGTAGAATAGTTAAACTGCACAAGTATGAGCAAAAATAAAATATTAAATTATTGAAATAAATGTTTGTAAGCCTTACTAAGCCAGAAGCAGTTCTAATTCTAAGGAAATAATGTCTATAATCACAAAAACTGCACGACAAAAAGTCATTAGCATTGAGCGATAAGAGAACAAAAGGCGTGCAGGTACAAGTTGAACTGCAAAAAATGCTACCTGCGGTCCTCAAACTTATTGAGCCGATCAAGTAATGTGACATGCCGGACTGTTTAAATATGATTATGTAAAAAACTTTTTTAAGTCGCGTTCCGTATTAATATGATGTTTTGGAGACGATGTGTTTTTTCGTATGAAAATTTTGCACCCTTTCACCCAAACTAGTCATATCCCCGTTCTTTTGCGCTAGCCTTGGTTTTATTTAATAGGGCTTTGTTTTCCAGAGTTAGGTGATCGTTGACGTAAATCCTGCTATCGCCACGTAGTCCTAAATCCACCGCTTTAAGGGCCTTATGATTCTTAGCAGCAGCTACAAATTCATTCTTCAAGTAACTGTTCTGGACAGAGCATATAATGTTGTTGTTATGCTTATTATTACGCGTAGGCACTCTGGCGATGTAGTTGACCTGCTCCTTTTGGATTTTACAGTTAATTGCAGTCCCCAACTTATCTAAGATGTTGAATAAGTTCTCGGCACTAGACTCGGGTACACCCTTAATTTCAATATTATTCATACGTAGACGTTGTTCGTTGTGGTTCTGCAGTTCCTCCAAGTTGTTTACACGGTCCTGCAGGGTCAACAAATCTCCTTTTGTCTTAACCAAGGAGTCAATTTCTTGCTCCAGGGTAGATACCTTCAAGGTTAGAGCCTCAACTGTATTATGAACAAACTCGATAGACGCCTTCATATCCGAGAACTCCTCTCTGATAGTCCTAAATTCCACCAGTTCAGCCTGTATCGCCCTCACGCTATCCACTAATGCTGGTATAGCCTCCATTTGTGACGACAGACGCTTAAGCTCGACAACGATGGAATCAGGATCCGACGACACTGTTGGTTTAGGACTGGCTATTCCTCGGGACTTGCAACTGGAACATTTCCAGGTGGATTTCCGCTCTCCTAGTTTCCGCCATCCACCCTCAGTTATTCCAGCGCAAGGGAAGTCAAACTGACCCGCACAGACAGAGCATGTGGCGCCGTCCCTAGCTTCAATTTCACACCGTTTGCAGGCAAACATATTAATACGAGCTTTGAGAAACACTTTAACACTTGAAAAAATTACGCAAACGAGCGGCAAGCAGTTGTGCACCTGTGGTCGGACTCGAGTCTACCGTCATACTGTATATATAAAAGTACATAATATCAAAGACAATTAACGTAAAAATACAAATCATTTCTGAGGCAGAGCCGTAACTCTCGCAATAATTACAAATTTTAGTGATGAAAGTCAGAAGCTGTATCAATATAACAAATATTTACCTACTTATTGGTAATGGTTAGAAAACCGCCGCAAGATATCCCTTTACAAATCTTTTCTACGCCCTAATGCCATGGCGAGGTTGTCAATCATTGAATAGCGACTACAACAAGCATTTGATGCATAAAGTTCTATAGAATTATTCAAAAGCAAGAGACCTAACAATGACGTAGGATGCAGTTGGTACTCAAGTACCTACACTGGTCAATATAATCTACCTAAAGTATCTTGGTTTGAAATAACAATATATCGGTAATAATATTAGTAAATAAATACATTTTATGGGAGTTGCGAGAAAAAACTTGACTTTAAAAGCATAGCTCTCTTTATTACCTACTCTTAATTATTTATTTAAGTTTTTATTAGATATTAGACAAAATAATTATACTTATACAATAAGGTGCACCAAACAAAAAATATGTCTAAATTATTAAATTTGTGCTTATTAAGCGCTGGATTATACATTGTCTAACCATAGTGTTATAAAATACAGCGCAAGAATACTTTAATAGCTTTTGGTAATATGTATGATATAGATTATAGATTCTAACAAGCCGATAGCCAATGAAAAAGTTTTAATTACAATACAATTAATATGCTTCATTATAGTCCGAATAGTCTTAATATTTTAACTCTTTAATGAAACCAATAATTGTATATAAACGACGCCCAATTGTATATAGACCGGTTGACTAACGCTATTATTGTATTTCTTTTAACTGGATTGGGATTCGAATTGCTTCCGCATCCTTCGTATTCTCCAGATTTGGCCCCCAGCGACTTTTTCCTGTTCTCAGACCTCAAAAAAACGTTCTTACCATAAAAATGATATCGAAAAATTGTATGATCGCTATAATCAATATATTTTGAATAATCCAATCAAATTCTATCAAAAAATTGTGTTTTTCTATGTATCATACATACTTTTCAGCTCCCTTATACATATTACGCCATCTATTGTTAAAAAAAAACATTTAATCATATAGGTAACATAATGTACACTTATGATTCGTCAGTAAAGAAATACATATTAATGCTTCTAATTTCACATTTACTGCCAGTTCTCAAATCAAGGGCGTAGAACGGGAGAGAAGAACTGGCAATAAACTCTCCGCCACTCTTTTTAATCACCATTTTTTTTGTTTTACAAAATGTTTGTAAGGAGCTGCAACCATTACACCATGTCCCATGTGACATTTTAAGTAATTAATAATAATAACATAAATTAAAAACAAAGATTTGTCCTCTATCAGCAGAAGGCATGGTGAAATAGGAGCACGCACTTACATTCTCGTGGGAACAACAAACCCAAGTTCAAACCCAAGGTCGTCGATATTAAATTTATTTCTCTTTCATTTAACATAATATGATTTTAGCTGACGTACTAAAGTCTACGTAACACTTACAATTGTATAATTAAGCTACTGTTGGACCAGAAGAATTCTTTATGGGACTTCTAGTGACAAACCCAATTTTGATATAATAAATTTATAAGAAGATAGCACGAAAACTGTTGTATTATTACATTAACTAGGTTTTTAACATTACTAATTTTTTTTTTTTTGGTACAAAGCATTAGGCTATATAGTATACTAGTGGACCCCACAGACGTTGTCCTGCATGATATTTAAAGCGATTAGGATATTAAGCAAAGTATGAAAGTACCGACTGCAGTGCCATCTGCCGGGCTGATTTGTGAATCTAAACCATTCCCAGATCCCCTTGAACACACACAAAAAATTTCATCAAAATCGGTCCAGTCGTTTGAGAGGAGTTCAGTCACATACACACGCACAGAAGAAATATATATATTAAGATATATAACATATTTATTGTTGTAAATGAGGAAAAATTCATTGCGCAGCGGTTGGGTTACAATAAAAGTACGTAACAAAATAAATATTTAGTTCTGAATAACACAAAATACACGGCGTTGTAATCCTTTGGGTGTTTGAAGTCTGTTAAAAAACTAAAAACGTGAAATAATACAAGAAGCGTAAAGTCTCTGCTGTTTTGAGGTAAATTTTATTTGTGAATCATACGAAGGTATTAAACTGATTACATAGTTTTTAATTGTCCGTTGAGTAAACAAAAGTTGCCCTTTTGTTAGTGTCTATAGTAGTTTTTAAGCTATTGCATAGATTTTATCGCGGGCTTTGAGCGCGGCGACCGAATCAAGAAATTCCGTAACGAAAAAACCTAACACACGATGACGTAAAATAGGTACGGCCAATACGCGTTGGAGCGGGACGCTGCTGATGAGATCGGTGCAGCCGGTGCGCGTCAGAGTGAGACAGACTATATAAGCGAGTTAGTCTGAGTTTGGTATAGCGGTAGATTGAATTAATTTATCAAAGAAAAAACTTGAATTAATATCAAAGAAAAAAAAACTGCTTTATTTATGCAGTTTATGTAATTATATTTGCATAAGTTGAAAAAAAAATATGCAATAGCTTTACCGTGGCAGTCCCCGAGTGCCACACGTTTTTTTTTTTCATTATGTAATACTTGCTTTGCCTAATTAATTTTGTTATGTTTATTTTTTGAATCGTGTGTGATTTTTTAATTGGCATTCTTGTCTATTAAGGGTCACCTGTTTGGAAAGCAATCCTTTCCTTTCCTTTGTTTTTAAATCTTGTTAGTTCAAAGATTCTCTTTGGGGCAGACTAATAATATGAAATCTGGCTTAGGAGTGTAAAGACCTAGAGTATTAACCACGGCTTTGTCAAATATAAACAATAAGCATTCTTATTTTAAAACGTTTACCCATAAATAAGGTTTCAAAACACGTTTAAGAACCTGAATTAAATCCATCGTCCACTTTTGATTTTCTAATAACACCATCTAAAATATTTCTTGTTTTCAAAAGATTCTTCCTCAATTTATATACTACCTGATCAGCCATCTCTTCATTGACATCCGGCAGTTCGTTCTTGATACATTTCTTTACGTCATCAAACGTTGAGTTTGGTATACCATCGTTTATTTCTTCAACTATCTCTTTCTCTCCCTTGACAATAACATTGTGCAAATCTTCGGCGAAATTTTGCAAGAACATATCCAATGTTTCCTTCACCACTTCCATATCTGTTACTGTTAGATTGTTATATTGCATTTTAACATAATCAGACATTATCGTTTTGAAGTTTTGAATGTATGATACTGTGCGAATATCCTTTTCTATGTGTTCGATGTCAGGTTTCTCTAATGCGTTTAATTCTGGGATATCTTTTGTTGGAAATGCTCCGGCCGACACGAGTAGTGTTAGGAGTACGACAGGGTTCCCTGGTAATAACAAAAATATTTATTATCTTGCACAGTGATTCCAGTTACTTTAGTAATAAATTCGCTCAAATAATAATATATGACAACATTTGGAATGCCAATGTAAATAACATTTATAAGCTAAATAGTTTCACAATAAAGAGTTAAATTGGTTTGGGTAACTTTTTTAATAACGCTTTTGCAGTTGTAATAGACAATAATTATTTAAAGAAAACTTTTTCAAAATTTAGTCGCTAGGATTATAACAGGTATTTTTTTAGTAAAACATTAAAACATAGCTCATTCTTTATCAACTAAAGCTAATACATATTAGGGTCCTTACATATGATATTGGCGTTTTGTACGGGTTTATATGTAAGGTATATTTTAGTAAATAGAATATATTTAATTGATTAAAGTATGTAGCATTGCTATCTATGCACTTTTGCCAAACTAAAGGTAGTTCATTGATCCCTTTACTAAATAAACATTCTGACGCGAATTAATAAAATCTTTGAAGGCGGTTTCGACTGCCCCATCAGAGTTGAATTTTTAGCCTTTGCAAGAAGTTATCCAAATTTCGAAAAAAATGGTAATAATATGTGGAAACTATACAAAGAACTTGGTACGAAAGTATATTAAACTCTTTATTACTTTTTTAGAACACATTTAGAATATTTTTTACAGTCGAGTAGCGCTGTACGTCTCTTGTATAAACAAAATATACATAATTCGCACTTAGAATTTTTTTAATATTTTGAAATTTAATTTTTTTTAAATATTTACACGCACTAGTAACTATATAATATATAATTTTATTGACAGATATCTATACTAATATTATAGAGGAAAAATTTGTATGTAAGTATGTTTGTAACGAATTGGCTCAAAAAGTACTGGACCGATTTTAAAAATTCTTTCACTGTTTAAATTCTACATTATCACTGATTAATATAGGCTATTTTGATTGGAAGAAAAAATAAGGATCCCTATTAAAACTACAATAATGTTACCCAAGATGTAAAAAATGCCTATAAAATATCTTTCATCGCATGCGCTGCGAATACTATTGATGATAGAACAAAAAAATGTTCCACAATATTAAAGAACATAATATCAAAAAATGTTTAAAAATAAAAGTCCATCCGTCCAAAGCCAGTACGGGCCGCCAGGAAATAATAAATTACCATATTTTAAATTAACTTTACTAATGACAATAAAAGGGTAGCTGACACCAGCGCCATTACTCCGACATATATGTATAAAAATATATATTACAAATTAGAAATAACAATATAATATAAATACACTGAATATCATACAAACTAAAATAATATACATTAAAAAAATTTCTAACCTTAAAATATAATAACTTAAATAATATACATTGAAAAAAATAATAAGTTAAATAATAATACTTTACTAATACTTATTAAACTTAATTTTGACCCTATCTTACATAAGCTATGGGTACTTACGCATTTCGTACGATGTACAACAACTGTAGTTGACGAATAAATGGAGACATTTTAGTAATTCAGCGACACACGAGTGGGTTGTTTTATGCAAGAATAATGTAATGCTACTTAAATATATATATGAATTGTGACTCATTAATCCTAAGATTAGCTTTGACATTTTGTTTATATTATTATTTATAGTTTTTTTTTTTAAAGACAATTCACACCAATTGACCTAGTCCCATGCTAAGCTGGTGAAGCTTGTGTTATGGGTTAGGCAACGGATATACAAACATATAAAAGATAGTATAGACATATATTATTTATTTATTTATTTATTTATTTATTGCATTTTAGGAAGATTTACAGTATTTTAACAGAAGGTAAATTATGATTACAATAAAATAAAGTCAGTACTAATTACAAATCTCCACCTATAGATAATCCATAAATACCTTTAGGAGATAGGAGGGATAAAATTAACAATCATGAATTTATAATACTATGAAACTATGAAAGAACTTAAGTAAATGACAAATTAAGTATGACTTCTAATGGAAATAGCTGGATGTGAGTGTGCGTCTCACAGAGTCAATGGAAGAAAAGAATAGATCGATGTCAAGCTGGGTTGAATACTGGTTGTAGGTCTGTACACTTCGAATCAAGAATGTATTTTTCCTATAGTTGGTATTAAATGGAGGCATTTTGAAAAGAGGGCGATGTCTGAACCATAATAAGTCAGTTCGCAAGTTGAGCTTTGCTAACATCTCCGGACAATCAACGAATCCCCTAACAATCTGTAATAAATAGCAGACATCGGAAATATTCCTTCGATTTTCAAGGGGCAAAAAATGGTAGCGTTGACAACGGTGATGGTAACCATCAGAATGCTGGTGGGCCTTAAAGTCGAGAAAACGAAGGAAGCGTCGCTGGATATTTTCGAGACGAGCCTTATATTCCTGGTATTGAGGATTCCAGACTTGTGAGGCGTACTCTAGGTGACTACGCACAAAAGAACAATATAATATTTTAATAGTTTTTAAATGTTTGAAGACAGCTGATGTTCTAATGATAAAACCCAAGGATTTAGAGGCTTTGGAAACTACACTATCAATGTGTCTATCAAATAGCAATTTATTGTCATGGATGACCCCAAGATCCTTAACTTCTACCAGTCTAGAAATTGACTGATTATAGAAGTTGAGATTAACTATCAATGGACTAGGTTTACGGCTAAAACTAATGTGATGACATTTAGACACATTGAGTTCCAACTTGTTTAGGACACAATAATGCTCAAACCTATTCAAATCGGCTTGCAGTAGGTTAATGTCATCCGTGTTATGCACAAACTTAAAGATTTTCATATCATCGGCAAACAGTAATATTTTAGAATTAAGGAAACAATCACCCACATCCAATGTGAACAGAATAAACATTAAAGGGCCCAAGATCGATCCCTGAGGAACTCCTGAAGGAATGGAGACCCAATTAGACAAGAATCCTTGCAGTACAACAGCCTGACAGCGATTATCTATGTAGGATGCGAACCATCTGAACAGGTCACCGTGGATACCTGCAGCCAATAATTTGCATAAGAGAACACTGTGATCAATTCTATCAAAACATTTAGTATAGTCCGTGTATATCACTTCAACTTGACCACCACTGTCCATTCCCTCAGTAATAAAATCATTAGCTATTATTAGGTTCGAGACGGTTGATCTGCTTCTGAGAAAACCATGTTGTTCCACCCCGAAAGAAGGTTTAAGCGCCACATATAGATCATTGTGAACAAGTTTTTCAAGAATTTTAGCGAATAAACATAATTTAGAAATCGGGCGGTAATTCTCAACATTAGATCTATCGCCCTTCTTGAATACAGGTGTAATATAAGCTCTCTTCCATATCTTCGGGACTATGCCTTCTGAGAGAGAACGCTGAAATATAATGGTCAAGGGTACTACCAAGCCAGACGCACAGTTGACTATAAAGACTGGGGGCAAGAGATCAGGACCACCACCCTTACTTAAATCTAATTTACGAATCAGTTTCTCGACCTTCGCATGTGTAACTGACACAGTAGAGATGCTAACGGTACTAGTACAACTAACAGGACTATTATTAACATTAACAGTGTCATTAGGTTTTAGAAAATTAGACTCAAAATAACTTGAAAACAGGTTAGAAATACCTAAACCAGAATCTGCAGTAGCACCAGTTGTTTTGTAGCACATAAAATTGGGATAAGAATTGGCCAATTTTTTGGATTTAACATACGACCAAAAGGTACGAGGATCGTGAACTATAGAAGCCTCAATTCTGTCTATATATACCTCAAAGCACTTCTTTTCTACTGTGATTGCCCTTTCACGCAGAGTTGAGAATGATAAGTAATCCGCAATGTTACCATAAATTTTGTACTTACTGTGATATTTATACTTTTCCTTTAGTATTTTGACTAGAGCAGAACTATACCATGGTGGATACAAACATTTTGATACAAGTTTGGACGGAATAAACTTATCACGTAGCTCATAAAGTTTATCATATAGTAAAGTCAGTGCTTCGTCTACAGTACAGTTAAACAAACAAGAATGCCAGTCTATCGAATTGAGAACTGATGTTATAGAATTAAAGTCAGCGCGGTTATATAAAAATTTTAAGGTTTTATCTTGTTCTAGAGTATGTATTTCAACAAATTCTATATCTAAAATTAATGATTTATGATGTTCATCTTCTGGAACCAAGGGTGACATACACGCTTGAACATTCACAGGTGAGTTAGAGAATATAAGATCCAGTATTCTTTGATTAATATTTGATTGTGCGTTATATTGACTAAGATTACAAGTATTAATAATATCAAGAAAATTTTTCAGATAATCAGATTTGTATTCGATAGGTAACAATTCAGTAGACCCCTCAGACCTAACCCAATTGATGTCATCCTTGAAATTAAAATCACCTGTTACAAGAAATACGTCCGAGGGGTGGCTCAATACTAGTTCACCTAATTTATTCGAAAAATTTAACACCTGTGTTTTATAAGAATTACCGCTTCCTTCATTACACAAATAAACCGTACATAAATGAATATTATAGTTTATAGAAGGGTTCCTACGTTTCAAAGTGATTGTCACCCAAATGTCCTCTGCTGAGCTCCTCCACTCCGACCGCTCAACAACCATAAGATCTTTCCGCACCGCTAACAATACTCCTCCACCTAGTTTCTGCGCTGTCCGCGCATAATCACGATCTCGTCTCCATATTATGTAACGAGAATCAAATAATTCACTGCTTAAAATACTGTCAAGAAGCCATGTTTCAGTGATTGCAATAAAATCATAATTATTTAACAATATGTTAGCCAGAAATACGTTCGTTTTAGTGCGCAGCCCTCGAGCATTCTGATAGTAACCAATAAGACTTTTGAACTTAATCATTGAAGAAACAGACAATAAAAACAATATATTTACCTATACATATCGAAGCATTCATATAGGATAGACAAAGCAACATAACCAATAAATACACCGACTCGCCATTCAAGCAAACTAAAATAAGTACAATTCTATTCAATAAATATTTTTCGTTAGCGAGACAATAGATATACTTAAATGCCGTAAGCAACGTCTTGGAATAATAAATAATCGATCTTATATAAATAGCGTTAGAATCATTACTGGTATGCACTCCATTAGCAGATAAGCAAAAACAATTCAAACCTGTTTCGATAGTCAACCCACAACACAGAACAATGAATGAGAAAAAAACCGTACCATGCCGTACCATCGCACACTCACCGCCAGCTGTTCTCAACATGTTAAATGCAGAGAAAAATAAATGTAATAAGACTTTATGAATAACAATAAAAATGATAAGGATTATATTATTTTGGAAATGTCTTTTACATTGCGGATATAAATTATTGGTGAAGTGTTGTCCTTCCGTATATGAATTACAGCTCTCTTCACCCATATGTATTGAAAATTATGATCTTTGGCTACCTTGCGAGCTTTGTTCAGCAGATCTTTGTTTTTGGGAGTGAGGTGGTCGTTTATAAATATTTTATGATTGCCATTAAAGCCCAGATTGGCACATGTTATAGACGATTTTGATCTGGCTAGGTCCTTGGCTTTGGTTCTTGCTGCCGCGATGAAATCTTCCTTGGCGTAACGGTTTAAGAAGCACAATATAATTGGCTTTGGTTGAGTACTATCTCGCACTGGCACGCGAGTAACAAAGTTGATTTGATTTTTCTGGACCGTATAGTTTATTAAATGACCAATAGAATTAACTATATCGTGTAAGTTTTCCTTGTCCCTCTGAGGAACTCCTTTAATCTCGACATTATTAATTCGTGACCATTGCTCGTTATCGTCCGCTTCACTCTCTAGCTTATCCAGCCTAGTTTGGATAGTACTATACTGTTCTACGATGTTCTGATTGTCAGATTCAACCTTGGACAGACGGGATTCAAAATTCTCTATTTTAGTTTTGAACTCACCGACGACTCCATTCATTTCACTGAAAGAGGACCTCAGCTCCGATAATTCCTTTCTGAGTGATTTGACATCTTCTACCAAAGATTCTAAAGGGGCGAGTTTTAAGGAAACAGCTCTAATTTCCTCCAGAATAGTCGACTCAACAGGCTTCTTCACTAGAGGTGATGTAGAGGCGGATGTCGAGACTGCTTGAGGTTGCGCAGAGATTTTACAATTGGCACAGCACCAAGTGAATCTTCCATCACCTAGTCTCCTATATCCTACCTCAGTAATGCCTCCACACTGAAAGTGAAATTCCAACTTGCAGACAGAGCAGGAAGCTCCGTCCCTGATCTCCTCTCCACAGCTACCACACAAGTTAGACATATCGTAAAATAGATAGCGACGATTGAGAATCACTGTAACTAGTATTAAATCCGAAAGGTATGATTCACTAACAATGTATACGTCCGCACGCCGCAACGCTTGACGAGAACATATAAATACATATTCAATCACCCAAGACCTAAGCACAACACCAAATGCTCATCACATCGATGTTCGTCTCAGCCGGGGATCGAACCCGGGACCCATGGATTCGCAGTCAGGGTTACAAACCACTAGACCAATGAGTCTTCCTTTTTTACTTTTTACTACTTTATTTTACTTTATTTTAGTTACAGTTAGTGTTACATGTTATTTTATGTTCTTTTTTTATTAATTATTTATGCACTTCTGGGGTCGTTCAAGTATTAAGTAAGCACTATGGGGGGGTATTTGATTTTCTTATTTGGTGATTATGTCAACAGTAATTGTTTACTTTTTTACACATATTACCTATATTGTCTATGCTTGAAAACGGAATGTATCTTCGAGGATTCCTATAAAAAATAATACGTTTATGTACTATTATTTTTAGAGCTTTGCTTACTTTTGCTGACAAGAGGAGGGGGGGGGGGATAAATTGCTGTAAATCTTCTTATGTACTTATTACCCCCTGTAGGTGTTTCTTTTTTATTGTTCCATATTAGGGTTGCCTGGAAAAAATTACGTGTTAGCGATAAGGCCGCCCGTTGTCTAATAATATGTAAGCTGTCAAGCAGGTTACATATTATTAGGCTACTAACCAACTAACTTTCAAGCTCGACTCGGTCTGTTTTTGCGAGAGTAGCTCAGCCGGAGAAGGCTTAACTGGTCCCCCGGCCAGGTGTCCCTTGACATATGAGCGTCCTGAGAGTTTGCCCCTGTTCTATAGAAAAAAAATGAAAAAGAAATGTTCAACCGGGACAATTCCTGCGAAAGACTGGCGTTTTAAAGCTATTCACTAATTAAAGGTATAAAAATCCTCTTACTTGGAATCTTAGAACACAGAAATAAAAATATGAAAAGGTGGGAGCTTGTAGTTTATTGTTTATCAGAATGCCAAATCATAAAATGACTGCTTCACGACTGATTTGAGAGCGACCGCCGATGCGAAAACCGCTCAGTGAGTTCGAAAAGTGAGTTACAGAATCGCAGGGCTGTATTCTGAGACTTCTCTGATAACACCCAATCACGTGTATGCCACACACATATTAATTTAAACATTATATGTTTTGCATGATACCGTCCAATCAATCTTTATTCAGTAAACGGCTCATTTCCGAGTGGTCATGCATATCATCGAGTAGGTGTAGAATCCGGTTTGAACCGTTTCCCATTTTAACTAACGAACAACGAGACGTTTAATATTCTCAAGTAAAATCAATTTTAATTAAATTTTGTTACGATATTATAGCAATAATATATATATATATCGTATCGGAGGGCAATGAGCCTAATTGACGCCCAAAAAGGACAGTCGCCCATGGACATTCATATTGGTGGGTGTGTTGTCAGCCTTTGAGGAAGAAGTATGCTCTATTTTTAACAGTTGGAGGTCGTATCTCCCAGGGAAGACCACCGGGAGTCGATTCCACAGTTCGCTAGTTCGCAAAAGAAGTTCTTGTGAAGCGGACTGTGGAAGAGTTCCAGCCATCAAGGTGATGCGGATGAAATTTTAAGTTAATACGGCTCATACGGTGATGAAACGAGGTAAGGGGGATCAACCCATACAACTCTTCAGATAATAAAAGTGATGTACTTTAAAACATATAGATACCGCACAGGTAACTCAGAACAAGTGGATTGTTATCGATAAGACAATTATACCTTCTAAATGTGACCTTATATCTACATAAATCTATTCCATTTAATTCTGCCAGCCGGGCTAGAAGACGGAGTGATACTGTGGGCCCACTTCGCAATGTTTCGTTCGTTTTGTTCGCCGTCAGTACGTGACTATATTTACAACAAAAAAAACGCTAAACTTCAATTTCATCTTAGAGTTTTGTATGAATGTAAGAAATTTATAACAGATTGGCTTAAAACTTTAACATATGAGGAAACTGAGCACATTTTAGTACGAATTCGCTAGTTTGAGACATACATTCATAATTACTACTTGCCTGTTAGATGGACAAATGATCATGAAGCAGACACAGAAGTCCGCCCTGCGATTCTGTAACTCACTTTTCGAACTCACACAGCGGTTTTCGCATCGGCGGTCGCTCTCAAATCAGTCGTGAAGCAGTCATTTTATGATTTGGCAATCTGATAAACAAGAAACTACAAGCTCCCACCGTTCCGAATCGCAAGGCTGAGGCTCAGACCTAAAAAGGTTGTACCACTGTTTTTTTTATTGTTTGTCTTTCGTAAATGAGTCGGTCCAACAATTGTCAAACTCAATAAAGATATATTCCACAGATTACCTACACAATGTAAACTAAACAATTATTGATGGATTTAATAAAGCTTTAATAATATTAATAAATACTTTCAAAATACTCCAAATATAGTCGAAAATTAGTATCACAAAAGCAAACTTAATACCAAGTAAATATTATTTTCTCACCGTCCGAGCGAATGTTAAATGCGCACATAGAGTCAATTGGTGCACGGGGATCGAACCTACGACCTCAGTATGAGAGTCGCACGCTGAAGCCACCAGGCTAACACTTTACGAAAGACACCGTAGTCGAATACTAATAAACGTCTATAAACTTTAATTAAATTTAATTTAATCAAGAGATTTATCTATTTGCTAATAATAGAAATGTCAATCCGAGCTTGATAATATATTTTCCCTGAAACATTTGTTTCAATTTAGCTGAAGGTTTAAGCTTTGGGGGAGATAGGGGACGAATGGTTTGTGCAAACGCGTTTATGTTTTATAGTTACGGTATTTTGTTTAATGCATTGTTTTCCTAGTGTCTTAAGCGTGCGAATCTCATCCCTGAGGTCGTAGGTTCGATCCCCGTGGACTTTCTATGTACGTGGACTTTCAACGTGCGCATTTAACATTCGCTCGAACGGTGAAGGAAAATATCGTTAGGAAATCGGCGTGTATCAGGATCAGGAGGCTGATCACCTACTTGCCTATTAGATTGACAATTTTTGACAAAAAAAAACAAAAAGAACAGATACAGAAATCTGAGGCCCCGACCTAAAAAGCTTGTAGCCACTGATTTATTTTGTTGAATGAAGAATAAGTATGTATTAAAAGTTATTTATCTCATTCTGATTTCATAATACATTACATAACTACTGATGTAATGAATATAGTACTTCATGAGGCTGTCACACATTATCTTTATATGTATATAAAGATATTTACTAATTTAAATGAACGATACATACGTCTAAGGTATCATAGAAACCTAAACTTTTATTTATTTTTTTAATTTTTATTTCCCGGATCGCCCGGAACAAACCACCTGCTAGCGATACGGCCGCCCTTTTTAAACAACTTATGATACCTGGTGTTTTATATTATGTATGTTATATTATGTGTGAAATTAGGGCGTTAAGGAGTTTTAACGCAAAAGTAAATTTCTTCTGTACAAAAAGTATACCTATATGCATTAGGGGAAAAATTTATACGGCATTTCTTCTTAAACACACATATTTTGTATGGATTTTGAACGTGTCCGTTCAACCCCAACCTCCTCATCGGTACTTTCCTTCACAACGATATAAAAGGGCTTTCTTTCTTAAGCAAAACATCAGTTAACATCCAGAGAGGAGCAATGGCATTAGACAAAATGATGTTCACTGTATTTCTATTTGTTGCATACAGTTTGGTTTTGGTTTGCGGTGTTAATTCTAAGGTAGGTATTAATTTAAGTGATTAATATTTTGAAATTTTTAATAAGTCAATTTGTGTAAGGATGGTGTACTGTCCCCCCAAACCTAAAGGATCTTTTAGTCTAACAACTGACTGGTCAGCCCTGCGATTCTGTAACTCACTTTTCGAACTCACACAGCGGTTTTCGCATCGGCGGTCGCTCTCAAATCAGTCGTGAAGCAGTCATTTTATGATTTGGCATTCTGATAAACAATAAACTACAAGCTCCCACCTTTTCAGAATGCCAAATCATAAAATGACTGCTTCACGACTGATTTGAGAGCGACCGCCGATGCGAAAACCGCTGTGTGAGTTCGAAAAGTGAGTTACAGAATCGCAGGGCAGGGCTTCAAATAATAAACTGGAGAAGTATATATCCTTTGATGGAATATCTTCATTAACGCGTTTTAGGGGAAGTCGTCCGTCATTGCCTTTAGAATCGTTATTCTATGATCCGCCGCACGTAAAACCGATTTCTGGCGTTTCTGGCGACATTATAATATGGTATATATATACAGTCTATATGCAGTAGTGTGTACGGTGTGTGTGTGTGTTCTAAGGCAATGATTAAAGTAATTAAGTCGTCACGATTTGAAATAAATTCGTAAATTTTTGTATATAATGAAAATAAATGTTTATTCAATAAATAGCTATCGTTATCTGGAAAAAATGGTAATATTTTATTTTATCATTATGACATATTTAGTTCCTATCACAATCTGTTCTTTTCTACATATTACTTTTACAAAATAATGTCGATGTTTCACATCTGCCAGGCGTCCCGTGACGGCTCACATTTTTTGTCTATGTGTTGATAAGATTATTGTTTGATTGACTTACCAATACCATAAACTATATTTTTTTGTATGACATTATCTGTATTTTATCATATATTTCTTAAGGTTGCCTGGAAGAGATCGCTTTATAGCGATAAGACTGTGTAATGTTTATATTTATTTTATATTTTTTTCAGCGTAAATAAATTTAAATTGTATATTTTATTGTTGTAAATAATTGTATAAATATTAAATATATTTCAATTTGGAAATCAATTTGGTTGTACTTTTATGTTAAATTAAAATCGTATTTTAGACATTATACAGTTTAATTGATTAGTGCTATTATATTGGTATAGGTTATATTTATCCGCTGAATATATATTATAAATAAACTCGAATTTAAAAAAAAAGTTTCAATGTTTTTGTCCGGTTAAGTGACACATACTTATTACTGAGATGAATATTATATCGTGAGATAAGCGTAAAAGACATTAATAACAAAATAAATATTTCATACAAGGATTTTTACATTGACAGCATCGAACTATTGACAAAAATGTTTAGTAAAAAAAAGACAATAAAAAACTAATACATTTGTTTATTTAGGATGACATCCAAGACAGAGGCGCTCACAGTGATCGCGGAGGTGTGTGGTTTGGACCACGACTTGGAAAAAGATCATTGAGGCTTGGAGATGATAGGTACAAAAATATTTTATGCAATCCATTAATAATAAACTGCGCGTTCTTTTTGTCTGTTAATATAAGCATTATTTGGGTCGAAAGTGATAGTCAAAATAACCAAGCAATGAAATAATTTGCTTGATATATTTTAAAAACCATTTTAGATATTTATTAATGACTATGGGACATCTACAAATTGTTATTTTTAATTCTTAATTATCGGTTTTAAAAATTCAACAACAATCATAATTTTAAAAACGCGCCAAAACTCTAGGCAAGATGGCGTCGCGCCAATTCATACGACGTACCATGCCAAGTGTGTTTGTGTTAATTATCATTCTTACACATATTATATTTAGATTAAAAACAATCTTTGACAAAATTAAGCACCAAGACAGGATTCTAGTCAGGCTTAGATATTATTATCTATCGTCATCGTCGATTCGACTAGTCTGTGACCGTTTTGTGTCATGTGACTGACGTAGTATTTTAAATTACGCCTTTTTTATAAATTTATGATTTACAACTTAACTCTTTTGACGTGTTTTACACGGATTACTTTCAATATTACTTTATTTTCATACTGAAGATAACGTGAAACATTAATCTTTACAAAATCGCTTTAGCCGTCGGCGTTTATGATTAATTTCATTTATACACACATTTTATTAGTACTCTTTTAATTTAAATAATATTTTTCAGTAAAGCAACGTTATTACGATTACTAGATTCAGCTGACAACCTCCGATACTACTACGACCAGCTCCCATACGAATTGCAATCTGATATCGGACAAGGTACATAGATTTATGTCCTAAAAATTCGCTTGGACCCGCAATTTTTTTTTTCTGTACACGCACAAGCTTTGGTGATTGGCAAAATGTTGACTTATACATCGATATTGACATTTTATTTTATCTGTTATTTATTTCACAAAATACTAATTAAACGGCGAAGATAATCTTTCTTCTAACTATGATTTGGTTCCCTTTGGAAACTCTTGGGCCGTACAAGTGCAGAGCTTAACTCAAGATTTAACTTGGGGCCTGGTTGCACCGGTGACCCCAGAGCTGGTGCTTTCCTTAACGAATAAGTATCGCAATGCAGCGAGGAAATGCTGCCATTACACCATAGACCCAAACTTTTTAAATTTATATCAGTTTTATAATTATTTAAATATAAATTAGATTATAATTATATAATCTTACAAATCGAAAAGAAATAATTAACTAAGCCAATCATAATAATAAACAAATGACTATCTTAAGATAGACATATTTTTTATAATTTCTTGGAAATTCATATTAATATTTTTTTTTAAACAAGCTATTTACTAATATAGTTGAGAATCGAAAAAAATCTAGCCGTTTTTTGCTTGTTCTTAGAACTAGCCTAACGTTAGACGGCGATAAATTATTTTATTTAGTAGAAATTAAATACTTTACAGACAAAATAATCTTCACACCAAAATTGGGGAGGGCAATCGACGAAAGACTGTTAAATGATGTAGAATTCACACCACGATTGGGCAGGCGGAAGATCAACCAGGCATTACCTACAGTAACTGAGGAGGAGAGGTACTGCTTTGTGCAATAAAATAGTAGATCCTAAGTTCTTTGGAATATTTTTTATGTCAATGATAAACAAAGTAATTTTTTATGTCAATGATAAACAAAATATTTTTTTATGTCAATGATAAACAAAATATTTTTTATGTCAATCATAAACAAAAGAATTTTCTATGTCAATAGTTTGAGTTTGAGTTTGAGTTTGAGTAAACAAAATAATTATGTTAATGACAATGAAGAACGAACGTCTTTGCTTAATGGTTGGGATTGTTATTATTTTAATAGCAGTGTCGGCCTAGTGGCTTCAGCGTGGGACTCTGATCTCTGAGGTGTGTACCAATGTACTTTCTCTCTATGTGCGCATTTAATGCTTGAACGGTGAAGAGAAACATCGTAAGGAAACCGGCTTGCCTTTGCCAAAAGTCGACGGCGTGTGTCAGGCAGGAGGCTGATCACACAGATTGACAAATGAAATAGATACAGAAAGTGAGGCCCAGACCTAAACAGGTTGTAGCGCCACAGATTTTTCTGCTTTTAATATTTATTAGAATTATATTGGTTTAATTTAATTCTCCTTTCAGCTACAGACAAGACCAAATGCTAACGAATAATCGTCCAAACCATTTCTCCCCGCGACTTGGGAGGAATTATAATTTTTCTCCCAGATTAGGGAGAGAATTAACCTATGGTAAGTGACAAATTGAATTAATTTTTTTAACACTTAGTTGCGGGTGTACCGCCGTCTGCCATGTGCCACCTGCAGTTCCCTTAATCTGGTCTATCCAACTTCCTAATTGTCTTCCTCTTTTGCGTTTATTATACCTTGGTTTATAGTTTATTAGTTTCTTGCTCCACTTTTCTATTCCTCTTGCCATGTGACGCCCATTTCCACTTAAGTTCATTTATTTTCATTGTTAGTTAATCTTCTTAATGATTATTTATTCTATCTATTCTTCTCTTCCCTATCATACATCATTTTTGAGAAATAGTAGGTTTAGTGTAACTTATCAAACAAGTCTTGTAAGAGATTAAGTATGCGTGAAAGTGTGAGTGTGTGAATGGGTGTGCGAATCTATTTGAGAGTGTAGCTAAGAGTTGTTATAAGCGTAATTTTTATGAGATTTGTGAGTTTGTATCTGGACAGTTTGACTATCACTTTGGTGAGCGATATACAAGATATATATATAATATAAATTAATCAATAAAGTTTTTTTATAAATTTGACGAATATTTAAATGATTAGCCTTGGGTTTCGTTGCTCCATTTCAAACAATTTGTATGACTCAAAACTTAGCGATTCAAATTCAAATTCAAATTCAAAAATCATTTATTCACGTAGGTAACACAATGTACACTTGTGATTCGTCAATAAGGTGATATCAGACGGTTCACTCGAATGATTGTTCACTGAGTGAATGCTTCATTTTTTTCATTCTATGTTCACACGGCTTAGACGAAATGATACAGAAATGAACATTCATTGTTCTTTCTTTTAAATATGTCATCGAATGAAGTCGTACGTCTTGGAATTAGTTTAATTTGTGATCATTTAATCAAAGAGTTGACAAAAAAGAAGCAAAGAAAATGTCGACGGTGGTGGGTGCGACCATGGATTGAAAGAATTAATTTATTAGGAGCTTCCAATACATTGTTGAGAGAACTAGCCGTTGAAGATCCTGATTCATATTGTAATCATCTTCGAATGGATGAAAGTAAATTTGAAGAAAAGTTAAAAAAAGTTATAACTTCGTCGACAACGTGATGTCCGTCGGCTACAGGACTCGAAACAAAATGGCCGAATCCGAATGAACGTTCTCTCAGTGTTCAGACCGTTCATTTCTCGTTCATTCGGAGTGGGAATGAAAGATACCGGATGCCAATATCCAACACTGTTGGATCGGTTCACTAATGAATTCATTCGGCACTCGTGTTTCATTTTTTGTTCAGACATTTCATTTCGAGTGAAATGTACCGAATGAAAGGTGAAAATGAACAAAAAATGAACCGTCTGATATCACCTTTAAAGAAATAAATATTAATGCTTCTAATTTTACATTTACTGCCAGTACTCAAATCAAGGGCGTAGAACGGAAGAGAAGAACTGGCAATAAACTCTCCGCCACTCTTTTTAATCGCCATGTTTTTTTTTTTTTTACAACGTTTGTAAGGAGCTGCAACCATTACACCATGTTCCACATGACATTTTAAGTAATTAATAATAATAACATAAATAAAAACAAAGACTTGTCCCGTATCAGCAGGAGGCATGGTGAAATAGGAGCACGCACTTACATTCTCGTGGGAACAACACGCAAACACATAGTCGAAATAATTAACATCGCCGCCATACACGAATTCAAGTACGACCAGTCACCACAAGTAGCACCCGTTCACGAGTATGACGCATGGCCAGCCATCGGCCCCCTCGCCATATTTTAGGGAGAGAGACGACCCGACGCATGGACGCCGCCACAAGCAATGACATTTAAGCGAGATTAAAAAGAGTGGCGGAAAGTTTCTTGCCAGCTCTACGCCCTTGATTGTAGTAAATGTAAATTTAGAATTAATTTAACACGTTCACTGCGCCATCATTTTTAAAGAACTTTCAGCTGGTGCTTTGGAGACCTAAAAGATCTCGTAACAAGCCTATCCTTTGGTGCGTTTGAGACCTAATCAGTCTCCTAAAAATACACTTTTGAAAATAATTTATATCTTCCAAAAAAACAATGACATATATTTTGAAGTTTTTGTGGGTGAAAGATAGCTAATTGCTTTATATTTTGCTAGGTTCGCACACAGTTACGACATTGGAATAAACTACAAATACCAAAAAAAATTAGATATCGATTGTATCTCGTACCGCAACCGAAGATAGTTCAATATGTGTAGTAAGTAGTGATGGGAATAAAATAATATCTCAGTTATCGATTCTAAAAGTTTTATTAATTATGCAAAGTGTTTTTCAATTAAACATGGTAAGCACATTGATTGCTTGCACATTACGAGCAAATTGCAAACTTAATCACTCATTGTTTATCAAAAATAATCAACACGCTGGTATATACGCTAGTGTTATTTCCAAAACGTGCCCGCGACTTCCCGAATGTCGATTCTAGGACAACACTAAAAATCCCATCCTCCATCTCCTGCGTCTACGAGGCGTACGATTTCACGAGTACCGACATACCTCCTAACGCAAGGAATTAAAACAATTACAGTACTGTGCGTTAGGGACCTAATCCATCTCTAATTTATTTTTTAAAGTTCTTGAATTCAGCTTCAAGTAGGAAGCAAATATGTATATTTTTCCTGCTCATCCTTAAAAAACTTTACAAGTTACATCCTCCCGCAAGGAGTGAAAAAAACACGATTGTGTTCAACGCACAATACAAAAGTCCTGCAAGAGATCTGATAGATCTCGTAATGCAACGAACGTGTTAACTTCTTTTCAGACGTAAGCGTACTTATAAGGTAGAATAAGTTCTGTGAATAAATGTACTTTAAAACTTATAAAAGAGCTGGTGTAACACTAATATGAAATTATTACAGATCTGTACCCCAGTGTTCGTGTATCGAGAAGTGTGAACAACTCTAAGACGAATTAAACACGTGAAAATAAGGACATGGTGATGCGTCAATAATTTTATATTTGATAATGTTTTGGACAAATAATGTTTAGGAATAAATGGTTATGATTATATGATTCGTCTTATTTATACACCATCAACAATATTCAGGCTTCAGCGCCATTTTTATGAAATTTGGTAGATATGAAAAAAAACTTCTGGGTCTGAGGGCAAGATCTATAACTTTCGAGTTAAGTCACAGTCGGTTTTTATAGAGCAAACTGCGAATCTCTCTGAGTGCTAGCTTAGCTTAATCTCAAGTCCACGAAATCGACGACTTACCAAAAATTTTGACTATAATCCTAACAAAAATAATGGCCTAAAATTTACTTTACCATCATATATTTTACTTGACTTTTTATTTTTGTCGGTTTTTAATTAACGGTGATGCCAATTACTACTACGATTTTAAAATAAGTCAGCCCTTTCTTAGAATTCATAAAAACAAAACGTTTAAAGCTAAAGTGCAGCTACAAAATCTCCAAGATTTAAAAAACTTCAAGTTTTCAGATCGAGTAAAAAAAAAAATTTATGAAAATGATTTATCTGGTGTTTAAAGAATTAAGCAATCTCTGGAAACAAACACCGAACACACCACATCATACATATAAGCTACCCATAACGCACTTTCATCTTTAGCAACTTTCTTAAAACCTAATTTTTCACTAACGATTCAAAACTTTAAACACTAACAATCTAAAATAACATCTTCTCAACCTGTCCTATGCTGAAACGGAAAATATTCTTATTGCGCAACAGTATTTGATTATTAAATGTAAGTGTTATGTAGAAATTATTGTCAAGTACCGCGTCAAAGTCAAAAGGAAGAGACTGGCTGCTCACCATCTATATCACCCCAGGCTAGGGGCCAGTTTCCTTTATTTTAATCTAAATATCCTTTTTATTGTGTATTTAATTCTTTTATATACTATTGCTTTTCTATATATTTTTGAAGTTATACTTCTTTAGGCGCGTTATGAAAAATTGATGAGAGTGAAATTTTACGATGCGCGCGCGCCGTGACACAAAATTAACAGAATGAAGTTGCCCACGGAAGATGCTACGGCATTGGACATAATTTAAAAAACAACATTCGAATAATAATAGAATTTATGTTACACTTAATGTAAGTGAATAATAATAAATATTTATTTATTTAATTTTTCAAATGTAAACTGAACTTTATTGACTATAATGACTCCTTTTCCAGTCTTTGATTATTTAATTGTAATTAATTATTTGCATGCAATCAAAAACTTATTTTAATAATTCCAAAGAAGTATAACTTCTTACGCACGTACATAAGTGCACGCACCCTTTTTTTAATTAACTTAGCCTATATTCCCTTAGTATCACTAAACCATTTTAATGTCGAAATAATTTGATAATTATTATTTTTAAATAAAATCAAAATCAATCAAAATACGTTTATTCAATTTAGATGCTTCTTAGAGCATGCTTATGAATGTCAACAACGTTTACAAAATTCACGAAAGAGCAAGACTACGCCATCCGCCAAATAGTTTTTGAAGGTATTCTTTACATAAGATATATTTTTAAAATATTAGGAAGAATTCATAGCGAGAATTTAATTAAAAGTTTGATAAACTCCGTGAAAAAATCACGCTCTAATTTCAAATGTTTAATGTTTTTGGTATAAACATACATGAAATGGATTTCTTATCGCTAACATGTAAGTTATATATTTATTTTTATATTCGTCACAATATTTTTGTTTTACAATTTAAAAATCGATCTAAAGCTTGATGTTGTATGTAATAATTTTGTAGTAATTAACCAAGAGCACAAAGATTGCGTCCTGCTTTCTTTAGGAAGTCTAATTGTTTATTATTTCAGGTTTTTATTTAAATATTTTAGCTCTGACAAACGGATATGTCTTATTTGCTGCGAATATAGACGACTTCCAAACGATCGCAAAGAAACTAGGCTCACCAAAAGTTATTGACGAACTCAAACAAATAGCAAATGACCCAGAAATTAAAAAATATTTCGCGAAACCTCGAGCAAAATCCAGCCAATATAACGCAGACCAAAGCTTTCCTATCGTAAGACAAAGAGAACCGATATTAAGCTTAAAGGAAACTGGTACTAAGATAGATTTTGAGGAATTAGTTGAAAGAGTGAGGCAAAGACTAGAAAAAGAATTCCAAAGCAAAAGTAATGATAAAAGAGAAAACTTCAAAAGACCTACCAAGCAAATCACAGAATATTCACGAGGTAATACAAAAACAACTAAAAAAGAACCGTATGACGAAAGAGACACACAAGAAAATATTGAACCTACGTATGCAGATCCAATAAATTATGATACAATAAAAGAAACATCTAGAAATGTACCTAAGACTCACGATTTTGACATGCCATTCAAGAAAATAGATATGCCTAAAGATGACAGCTATGAAGATTACAAAACACCGGCAAAGGATACGTACGTTTTCAGCAATGAACACCCAAAAGAGAACAGATTTAAAATTAAAAATAACAAAATAGAAGTAAGACCTACATTGGAAACAAAACGATTGAAGCATAAAACGAAGCCAACTGAAGACTACGCTGAAGTCGTTGGATCAAACGAAATAAAGGCGAGAACAGAGAAATTAGAATATGAAGATGATAATATAAGAGTTAAGGCTGGGACTGGTATCCCAACAAGGGAAACTTATAAAATGGTAACACCGAACTATTTTGGTAATCTACCGACGGTGGCTGAAAGGTACGATTTTAATGAACCAATACCAGAAAGAGATAGACAAAGAGAAAACATTAAGCATTTTGGGAATCCGCCCGCGAGGATTAACAAGAAAATCAGATTATTATAAAAAAACAATTAAAAGTGAGAAAAAAAAAGAAATAAAGAAGTTTATTTAGCAATTACTGAGGATGTTTTGTACATAATCTTTTTAAACTAAGTATATTTAAAAGGTAAGTATCTATATGTAACGTTAAAAACAAAACCGCTTAGGTATTGGTGGTACCTTCAGCCGAGAGGATTTGCTGCACACTCCCTCGAGAGGGGTGAGCTTTGGCCCGTTCGGGGCGTATGCCCCTTTCGGGTGGTGTATATTTTTCGCACCCTGCTGATACAGGTTGGTACGGGGTCGGGCGTATAACCCTTGGTGGGGGACGCAGCGCGCGAGGAGACATAGGCTCCACTCGCTGCGCGCAGCCGGGTGGTACCTTCATTGATGTTAACTCTTATACGGGGCTCGCTGGCAAACGTAAGATAAAAACAAAATCCAAATAGTTTAAAGAGTTTTAGTTATAATAAAATAATTGTCCATTGCTTATAAATATCGAATTGCATGCAAACGCAAAGCCTTTGATCTGTTTTCTTTTTTGTAACATTACAAAAAAATCAAAAATCTAATTGCTGATATTTACGTAAATAAAACTTCATTTGTTACGTAAATAATTTAAGCGTAAATTATTGTGTAGGGTGTCAGGGTGCCCTATCAGCCCCCTCTTTTCGTAATACGTATAATTAATGCAATACGTCATAAAATAAAACTAAAATAGGAACAACAGTCAAACATAAGTTACAATAAGATCACAATTCATCAGTGAATATTTATAACTAAACAAGCATTATTTATTTATTAACATTTCGTTGCATTACAATATAAAAATTGAACATAATTAAATTAAAAAGAGGGCAACTAGCGGCCTTATCGCTTTCGAGTGATCACTTCCAAGTTCCAGGCAACCACTGTGAGAAAAGAAAAATGTATTAAATTAAATAAGGTAAGCAAGAAGTGCAGAACTACATATTACATATAGTTATTCAGAAAAAAAAACAAAACAGTAATAAACTAAACTAATAAAGGATACATGAAAAGAAAAAGTGCACATGAATCATGATAATTTAATTTAAGATCAGTTTCACGTCAGTTAGTAGTATTTTATTTATTTATAAAAGCTTGCCATCGCTCGGCACAGTAATACATTGATAAAAGAAAAATAAAATACAATTTTTAATGTGTCAAGCACTTACAGGCAAACATAAGCATATAAGAAATAATAAAAAGAAATTAAACAAAACAATAATATAATTTAAATAAACATTAAACGAAAATCGCTCTTAAAGTGTGAGGGGAGCAAGGAGTGGATATCCATTATCCAGATCCAGCTCGTTAACAGAATGCTCAATCTGGACATCGGTGAATTTTGGCCAAAACGCGTTCTCCAGAAAGGAGGGACAACTGGAATGATGGGACGTCTGGGATATCTACTGGGTACACTAAATTTAAATTTTGTTTAAAGGTTGGGGAAATCAATCTGATTGTTAAGTATCTTAATGGCAAATGATACATCAATTAATAAAAAAAATTGTAGTATTATTATTGCTACAATCCAGTTTGATCCATCTATCTAGTGCCGAATGATCACCATCTTTTCTCTTGTAAACTCTCTTGTTATCGCTTAACACGTCCAAGTTGAATAATGTTGTACTATTCAAAGAAGTTTTTTTATAGAACTGGGGGCAAACGGGCAGGAGGCTCACAATGCTAGAGGGCTCGCAAGTGCGTTGCCGGCCTTTTAAGAATTGGTACGCTCTTTTATTTAAGGACCCTAAGTCGATCTTCCAAGACGAATACACGACCACTCCACATCCGTTACTGGATCCTTCCGACCTTCCAGCCTGGTCTGGTCGAGGATCCGAGTTTGAGAAACCGATCCCTTGATCCTGAAAAAAGAATCACTTTTCCTTCCAAAATGTTATTATTTTTTTATAGAACAGCCCTGCGATTCTGTAACTCACTTTTCGAACTCACACAGCGGTTTTCGCATCGGCGGTCGCTCTCAAATCAGTCGTGAAGCAGTCATTTTATGATTTGGCATTCTGATAAACAATAAACTACAAGCTCCCACCTTTTCAGAATGCCAAATCATAAAATGACTGCTTCACGACTGATTTGAGAACGACCGCCGATGCGAAAACCGCTGTGTGAGTTCGAAAAGTGAGTTACAGAATCGCAGGGCAGGGGTAAACGGGCAGGAGGCTCATCTGATGTTAAGCCGCCTCCCATAGACACTCTCCAAGCCAGAGGGCTCGCGAGTGTGTTGCTGGCCTTTTAACATGTGTAAACAGTTTCATTCAATCCCGAGTAAAACCTCTTGTGTTTAAACACATTTACATCAAGAAATCAGAATTTTTTATTGAATGTAAATTTTTGTCGAAAACAACTAAAATGGAATTAAAATTGTTTTTATTATTTATTTCAGTGATTCAAGCAACCGATTTAGTGATAAAAATACCTATCGAAGTTGACGATTTTAATCCTATAAATCAATATATCTACACTGGTAAGGGATTGAAACCATTATCCATGTATAATTTGATGAATTATAAGGAATACCCGAAAAGATTTACAGAGGGAAATAAGAAAATTGTTTTTGCGAATGGACGCGGTCTCAGTGGGAGTTTTGACGCATTTTCAGCAAAGAGAAGAATTTAAAAACAATTGTTTTTTTGTATATAAATAAAAATGAATCGCAAAAATTTACTTTTATTTGCTACTTAGGTTTTTATTTTGGAAAAGCGATCTGTCTATGGGGTAGCATAGCAAAAAGTTCCAAATGTTGGTAAGTAGCTACAAAAAAGGTAGGCTAAGTAAAAAAAATCACATTAAAAAGCGAAACCAAAGAATGAATTGCCGATGGGTGAAAAGGGCCTGGAATGGCCGAGGACCAGTCGGCGAAGCGCTGGACGGCCTCTCACTAAGTGGTCAGATGACCTCGTAAGGGTGGAAGGAAGACGTTGCAATACGCGGGGAACCGGCCTTAATGGAAATTTAGGGTATAGGCCCATGTCCAGCAAGACGTGAACAGGCTGAAACGAACGAATTTCTAGTGGACTTAGGAGGAAAAAAAGGGGGTCCTCCTCGGTCGGAAAACTTACCAAATTCCCACGAACCTACCCTGAACATTAACAGGTGTAATAATATAAAATAACAAGCATTTAATGTATATTTCTTTTTTGACATGTGTACATTGTATTACCTATATGAATAAATGATTTTGACTTGACTTGACCTATGTATCCACGGGGCGGGCGGCAAGTAGATCCGCCCCTGCACGTCAGGGTTGACACCTATTCACTAGATTATATTAGTATATATTTCGACATACGGGAATCAAAGTTCGTGGTATTATCTTTAAATTAGGATAACGTTCCACACATCAACAGCAACTACGCAAAAAATTGTATCGCGCAGCCAGGGCATACAAGCACTATTTAAGCTTAATATGCTTAATTTAATTATTAAGAATATCCATAGCGCTTGATAACCTGCATTATTACACCCCACATACACAAACGTATACACCTAGACACACCATCACACAACAGCCGAAATAGGTATTAATTAGTTAAATGTATTTAATTTTTATTGATCTTTTCCTGTAGTAAATGTTCAATCTTTTTTATATATTATATATATGTATTCTTTGGATATTTGTAAGTATAACTTTTTTATTTAATTAAGCTGCAGAGTACACTAAATAAAAAAACCTAGATATGACATTTATTTTATTATATCATCATCATCATCTGGGCATTTGGTTGGTTGAGTCAACTTCTTTGGGTATAACGTGATTCTTGGCGACTTAGTTGAACCTGTAACGAATTTTTTTATTCAGAAACACAATATGACATACAAATGATAAATTATATCAGCAAAAATGTTTAGTAATTAATAAAAATATACATAATAAAATACAAGAGATTAGGCAAGTAATGAAACGTCATCGATCTGTCGCAGTCAACTAGCTTAATTAGCCGTTAAATTAACAGCCTAGCCTTTTAACTAAACGGCGCCGTTTAACTAGCGGCCTGAAAAATGTTCAGCCAGTTGATCAAACAGCTAGGCAAAAACTCGCATCGATGACGTTTCATTAGTTGCCTAGCATGCCGACTGTTAAATTAAATTAAATTTAAATTTAATTCCACTAAACGAAACTCTTCAAACTGTCAATATGGCATCGGCAAACCACAACTTTAATGGTGTTTTCCAAAGTTTCATGAAAAACATCAAGTGCAGTGGAAGAGTGTAGTTGACGGCTCATTGGTCTAGTGGTTAGTACCCCTGACTGCGAATCCATGGGTCCCGGGTTCGATCCCCGGCTGAGACAAACATCGATGTGATGAGCATTTGGTGTTGTGCTTAGGTCTTGGGTGTTTAAATATGTATTTATATGTCTATTTATCTATAATATGTATGTATAATGTATATCCGTTGCCTAGTACCCATAACACAAGCTTCACCAGCTTACCATGGGACTAGGTCAATTGGTGTGAATTGTCCAATCATATATAATAATAAGCTTAAGCGCAGCCAACGGCTTAATAAGCTAGTTGGCTGCGACTTGTATGATTACAGTATATAATTTGTATGGTATCTAACTTATATAAGAGTTCTATTTTCAGGCCAATAATATTGTCAGAAAATTTTGATTGGTGTTCATACAAACGTTTTGTTCAAATCACAATTCTCGTTTTCCGACTACGTACTACTAATTAGAGCATTTTTTTTTTTGTAATAGGAGGCAAACGGGTAAGAGGCTCATCTGAGGTTAAACCGTCGCCCGTGGACACTTACATTGCCAGAAGGCTCGCGAGTGCGTTGCCGCTCTTTTCATGAAGGTCCCTAAGTCGAATTGCTTCGAAAATACTTCAGTGGGCAGCTGGTTTCACATAGTGGTATTTTGTATTCTGCTTTCATGTCCGAACACCTCCTCTGAACATTCTCCATGATAAATGCGGTAGAAGATGCAGAGAGACCCCACATCTCTTCGCAACGCCAAGAGATCAAGCCGCACAGAAAGTGACTTGTCATCAATCTCCAAAACTTGGGTGTCACAGTTCACACAGTTTTAGAATTGCCGAAATTCGTAATATATTATTCTAAGTGCAACAAATTCAACTTGAAAAAATCTAATGAAACCAGAGCTAAAAGTAAAAAGCACTTACCATCCAAGTCCGATACCCTGACGCAGGGCGGGCGGAAAAGTCTTGTTTGTTTAAGAAGGCTTGAGGCGTTACTAATATCCAGCTTCCATTCAGAGAATAGAGTTTGAACGCTGTGCTTCAAAGTCCGGAAACTATGGGTCTTTTCTGAAATGTAGACTCTCTTATCGTAGCTAGGGAGCTGGCTTCCAAAGTATCTGTATGATTTGCTCGCGACGCAGACTTTTTAATAGCGATAATGACCTGGATGCAGTGGCGCCCTCAAGCTCAGGGGGCCCTCGAATCCTCACCAGATCGATCGTTCTGAACTTTTGGAAATTTCTCCCATTTTCAAAATAAATATGATAGGTTGCAACCCCACTTTAATCAAGACATTAATTTGAGAGAAATTCAAAAGTTTATAGTTATAGGGAATTTCCCTAAATTCTTTCTGTAGGTTGGCATTGTTGTCAATTTGACGGATAGTTTATATAATAAACCCTTGAATCTTCTATATTTCAATTCGCCAAACCTACTATTACAATTAAACCAAGTATTAATTGTAATTTATGTTGTTACTGTTTAATATTTTTTTTACCTGCCCTGCACAAATAGAGCTTAAGTAGCCTAGCATTTTTAAAGTATTTGTATATATTTCATATTTTTATTTGATTAAACCTAATCAGTTTACATAGCAGTGGGGCCCCATTTTTTAATTTGCCCCAGGGCCCTTGGTCACCTAGCTACGCCACTGCCTGGATGTCCGCTTTATAGATTGTCTTCGTTAAATGGTATTGACAATTAACACCAGAGACAGACACGAGCATATGATTTGATGTTTTTTACAGATTAAATCCCTGCCCTACGATTCTGTAACTCACTTTTCGAACTCACACAGCGGTTTTTACATCGGCGGTCGCTCTCAAATCAGTCGTGAAGCAGTCATTTTATGATTTGGCATTCTGAAAAGGTCCCACCTTGTAGTTGTAGCTTGTAGTTTATTGTTTATCAGAATGCCAAATCATAAAATGACTGCTTCACGACTGATTTGAGAGCGACCGCCGATGTAAAAACCGCTGTGTGAGTTCGAAAACTGAGTTACAGAATCGCAGGGCTGTAACTTAAAAACGCAGCAACGTTCTTAATTTATTAAGAATTTTTTGCCGTCCGTCCGAACTTTAATTCCTGATACTAGATACGAGCAAATCATAAATTCTCGCCAGCTTCCTAGTTATAGCACATCACGACATCGCGATGATTTTAGATATATAAAACCAATGATGCCAACTCCTAAAAAATATTCCCTCGAGAACCAACATAAAATCCACTTAAATATCGACAAAAAACCGCTAAATTTTGTTGTACACTTCGTTTGAGAGGTAATAAAAGAGGTTAAATATGAATTAAAAATACATAATATAAGTTTGTAGTATGTATAAACTATAAAATCCGGTGTAATTAACACTTTTACATATATTATTTTTATCATAATATATGTTTTAATTATTATATTTCTTAACATTTTAACTATGTTTTTTTTTAACTTTTCTTAGCATATATATTTTGCTTTTCCCTCATTTTTTCATACATATTTTAAAGCTTATGCCAGCTAAATTTACGCCCTAAATAAATGTACATCAGAAAAACCCCCCAAGACATTATAATTCTGTACATGCAACGAAGTGTTAATAAATAAAATAAATATAGGAAGTGCATAGATAGTTAACGAACATATATAACACAGAACACTAGACTAATTAAAACGTTACTAAATTAAAATCTTTAAAAAAACAATAATATAATACCTTAAGTTAGTTAAACTATTAAAATCAAAAGGCTTGGCGCGCATCTTAAATCCTTTATGTTTTTTTTATCTAATAGGAGGCAAACGGGCAAGAGGCTCACCTGATGTTAAGTGATACCGCCGCCCATGGACACTCACACTGCCAGAAGGCTCGCAAGTGCGTTGCCGGCCTTTCAAGAATTTGTACGCTCTTTTCTTGAAGGACCCTAAGTCGAATTGGTTACTTCAGTGGGCAGCTGGTTCCACATAGTGTTGGTGCGCGGCAAAAACTGCCTTAGAAAACGCTCAGTTGTGGAACGACGGACGTCGCGGTGATACGGATGGTATTTTGTATTTTGCCTTGACGTCCGATGATGAAACTCAGCTGCAGGTATTAGACCGAACAACTCCTCTGAACACTCTCCATGGTAAATGCGGTAGTAGTTCAAGCTATGCACTTAATAGACTGTAAACAACGTTTTTAACTACAGTTTAAAAAAGTAATTGCTAATGTAAAGTACCTCTTATGACAACGTTTAGGAGCATTTTAATCGGTGGAACATCCCATTGGAAGAGACGAATGTGCAAATGGCTGATTTGGTATAATATCGAGTAGATATCTTCCTTCGCCATTCCTGTCGTATTCATGCTTAGAAGTTGAATTAATCTAAAAAAAAAATCATTTTGTTACACGCTTTATATTAGCTTCACCTGTATGTATGTATGTATGTAACCGACTCCTTCGGACTCGATTTTGACTCACTTTTAACGGACAGATTTAATTCAAACTTGCGCACCTGTCAAAGATCGATGACAATGCAATAATCCGAAAAAAAATAAAAAAAAATAAAAAACATAAACTAAAAAATAAAAAATAAATAATAGTTTAAAAAAAACTAAAAAACACGCTTTTAAAGCACATCAAACTAAAAAAGCGTGGGTTGCTCGATAGACGAAAAATATGGCACAGAGGCCCCACGCTTTTTCACAATAATACCAGTATTTTTTGTTCATTACCATTTTCAGCCTAAATTAGGAATTATTTTTAACTTTAGTTTGATGTGCTTTAAAAGCGTGTTTTTTAGTTTTTTTTTAACTATTATTTATTTTTAGATATAACGACAGGATACTCAAAATTGTTCCATGTGCCTCGTACGAACGTGAATTATCTGCATACTTTGGCAATGTTTGGGGTTTCATCTAATGACACTACACTTCATGACAATTATGAATAGTCGTAGAATAGTGACGGATCTGACAAATAGTAAACTTTACAGGGCAGCCATTTCAAAATAATATTATCATGTTAGTTTTTGTCATAACTATTTATACTCATATTCTGTTGTTATGAAAATTTGGATACAAGCAAAAAAAGGGTTTGTTTTGAAACAAAATCAAAATAATAACATTAGAACAGTTTTCTAGAAAAATCACATGTTTCTATTAAATCCGTCACTTTACCGATTAATTTGAAATTTAAAACACGTGGGTTTTTTTTAATGTAGCCAAAATATTTTGTAAATTTAGTACTTATCCAAATATGATAAAAATTGGATTTTGAAATTTTTTCAAGACGATTTATATTTTCCACCTCACCAAAGAGGATGTGAGGAAATATTTGAAGAGGCGGGAAGACTCTGACTTTGTTTAACAGTATCAATTTCTTTTTTTAAATATTAAGTATTAATTGTCGTTTGTAATGTTAAATTTCAGTTTTCTTTTATTTTTTTACTCATGTTTTCTGTTTCATATATATTGTTTATATATGTAATCTATTTTGGCTTTATTTATTGTCTAAGTGTTTTGTTTTATAATATGTATGTTAGCAGTAAGATTACTGATAAATTAATATAACCTAGTACTTTCCTCGGTCAACGAATAAGTCGCAATGCAGCGAGTAATTGCTAAGCGTTATTAAAACATACGTAGGCTGGCGGATAGCCATGTAGACGTCTTATTAAAATTACAGAGTAATGTGCAGAGCCACAACTTAAGAATTTAAGTTTTGAATCCTTTATTAGTGGCAATTAATTCCTTAAGGGGTTTAAATTTGCTTCATGTGATGTATGTGATATATTGTATTAGCCGCAATTTTGTATAGAATGCATGAGTTCGATTTTAATTTGTTTTTAAAATGTATAATATGTCTGTTTTAATAAAAAAATACTTAGGGAAGTTATAGAAAAGTAAGTACTAACACCAACGTGACTAGTGGCTCAGTGGCTTCAACTCTCATCCCTGAAATCGTAGGTTCGAACGCTCGTATAGTGAAGGAAAACATCGTGCGGAGATCATACCGTCTTCAATAATCGTAACAAATAATCACGAAACAGATTCAGAAATCTAAAGCCTAGACCTAAAAACGTTGTAGCGCGTCTAGTATAAGTATCAAATAAAAAAATACCTGACAACTGTGGGATCCTTAGGTCCAAAGCCCTTTGAAGTAGTTATGTCCTTTTGTACGCCGGTCAAGTATGGAGTTATTATGTAATGACAGTGGGCCCATGGAATTGCTTCATTTACGTCATGAGAACTCCGGCGGTAAAAAATATCCAACGGCTTTTTTATATTTTTTTTAATTATCGATCGTAGTAACTTGGGTGTTGACAATTGACTGTCTGTCACGTTTGACAGTTCGCTAGCGTCCTTCGTTGTATTGGCGCGAATTGCGGCGGTGGCATTTTTGCGTTTTCTGTGTTTTTTAATTTTCGGATCAATGATGGGTGTGATTTTGTCGTTTGGTTGTTCAATATAGTCGTAATTTTCGTCAGAAAAGGCGAATTTATCCTTCGTGTCTACATTCTCGAAAATTTGCTGTTTTATCTCGTCTTTTAGGCGATTTCTAAGTATTTGGATTCGATGTCGTAAAGGTAACGTTGTTTTGGTTTGTTTGGTGTCTTTCATAGGCAATGCTTAAAATATAATGAAAATTTAATTCAAGATCTTGACTAGACTTTTTTTTGCTCTCAAACATCACATATGGTATGGTCAGGCTAATGAAAGAAGATAATCGAATTTAGTATTGTCTTTTATTGACATAACCTATACACATTTAAAGAAAAAACTTTTTAACCGGATTAAAGTTATGTATTATTATAAATTTATGTATTAATATTATTTATTATTAATAAAGTTATGTATTATTAAATGGTCACCGTGACCACGCACGCTGTAAAGCACGCGAAACGTCGGATAAATTTAAAATTATGTTAAATAATTGTAAATTTATAATAATACATACCTAACTTTAATCCGGTTAAAAAGTTTTTTCTTTAAATAATTGAATTATTTGATTATTTCATTTATATAAATTATATTTATTAAAACTTTCGAATGACACAGAATGTCATTGAATTTCTTAGGTAAGTATGATTTATTGTCTTGATATTTCATGCAATTACTAATTTTTATTTCTATTATATATTTTTTCCGAATAGTTAACAGGTATAACAGCCTAAACTTTTTTTTTATTTGATAGAACGTTTCGTTTCTTTCGCAGGATTTGATTATTCTGAATAAAGTTGTGTTTTATAACAAATATAGTTTTAGTTTTCCATGCAATTCTAGTCACTTTAAGTATTAATAGTAAAAGACTAAATACGTATAGTATTTATTTTATAGAAATACAGTTACCATCAATGTAAAAAATAATAAAATAAAATCAAGTATCAAGTAAGTTTAATCCACTAAACATTTCAAACTTTTAGGGATACCATACTACATTTTTTTTAATTTGCCGCGCTTTTTCGTTATCTTCTTTCATTAGCCAGACTTCAAGAAGGGCAATCAGATACTTATGAATATATGTTATGGAATATACATGTGTGATAATAACATGAGAACATAAGAAGGCGTAGCGCTAACCAGATCCATGCAACTTCCTCACAATCTCGAGGGGACTCTTTGTATTGAAGAAGGCGCATGGGACCGCGAATACACACTGTATACATAATTATGTAGAAATAAAGAAAATAGTAGTAGCAAATAAATTTACACAACGTGGTTATTATTAGTCTTAAGATATTTATTAAAGTGAAACTTCTAATGCGACTTCCAACAAGGCTTAACGGTACACAATGGAGGGGCTATGAAAGTACTGTTGCGTTTTGGATATTTCTCAACTCGAAAATGATAAAGGATGCGATCAATTGTAAATTGTAAGCAATGTTAATAAAGTTTATCTTAAAGAAACAATTTGATTTCACTAAAAAACAATTTCTACACCGTTTTTTTCACATTACGAAGTTTCACTTCTTCCGCGCGGAGGGACTCCACGTACAATTTTTTTTCTTATAATTGCTGGTATATAGAATTCTATTACCGAAAATATCTTAACTAAGGGTTTAATCTGCTATCACTAAAAATATAATTCATGTAACAACGATAGAATCTATAGTAAGCAAGTACTTCATCAGTTGCCTAAGTAGTTAAAATGTCCCTTGAATATTAGAGGAACTCTGTCACAGCCATGGCGGCGGTCAAAACTTACCGACTAAAACACAAATCAATAGGTGAAAACGCATTTTATAAACTGAAACTGAATTGTATTTGAAATACTTTTTAATCTCTGAATATTCGTAATTAAAATCTTTCAGCCATATTTAAACAATTCTATCGGTATAAGAATAACGTCATCATAAATAGCATTATCTTACTGCATGGAATCGAAGCTAAGTTATACAGGGAATAAAGTGTCTACCACCGAACAGTGAATAGAGTGGTATTATATCCTGAAAAAATCGAACTTACAAAACCCTTGGAATCAGTCGCTGCAAATTATTTGTTTTTTAAAGTCAAAGTCAAAAAACAAAGTCGATAAAGGTCGCCATAGACGGACCGCATGTTGTAGTCGATACCGACTGCTCTAGAGCTGTCGCATTGAAGTCGTACACGACTGCAACACGACCGCATAATGCAGTTGACTATGACTGCTTGGAGCAGTTGTGTTCGATCGCAAAGTAATACTGTCGCCAGTTTATTTACAAGATGTATGTCGATGAAGACACACTGCTTCTTGTACTACTACGTAGGCGTAGAAGACACAGTAGTATGTGGGTACGTCCAATACTACAATCAAGAGAATGGAATATGTCATACTTTGTATCCCCAGCTGAGAGAAGACACTAAAAAGTTATTCAACTACTTTAGAATGTCCGTGGTTTCATTTGACGAATTATTTAGTATTTTAAGCCATAAAATACAACGGACAAATTCCAAAATAAGGAAGGGGTTGGTACTCAGCGAGGAGCGGGGAGGGTGTGGCGTGCGTTCGGCAGCATAGCGGTCCGTGTATGGTGGGTCCGGCAGCTCTAAGCAGTCGACCGCACGGCGGAACTCGACCGCAGAGCGACTGCTCCGACCGCTCATGAACTGCTCGAGCGGTCCGTGTATTGCGGATATGAATTTAGTATCATATCAATTTACCATCAGCAGTAATAGGTAGTCTCTTGAGTTGGCTGGCGATTTGACCCTGATATCATAGCGAGTCTTGTTTGTGGACCATTTTATATTCATTTATCTATGTGATTACGATTAAGTTAAATATCGGAAGGCGACTAAGTCAAAGTCAAAAATAAATTATTCATATAGGTAACACAATGTACACTTATGAACGCCAAAAAGAAATATAAGTAGGTAAATTAAATGCTTCTAATTCTAAATCAAGGGCGTAGAACAGAAGAGAAGAACTGGCAATAAACTCCCCGCCACTCTTTTTGATCGGCAAGATTTTTGTTTTATACTTTTGTAAGGAGCTGAAACTATTACACCATGTTCCACATGACATCTTAAGTAATAAATAATAATAAAATAAATTAACAAAGATTTGTCCTCACTCCTCTATCATTGACACGCCTTAATAAGAACGGTGTGACGGGAGTCATAGTTCATGGTATTAGTCCCGATTCTGGGTCCCAACCGAAGACATGTGCCGAGCAAGGCTGATCACCTAATATTCTTTATAATAGAAGCAGAAGTTGTATACATTGTGATACATTGTATTAATTTATAAGTTTACAATACATGTGTGTTTAAATATATGTTAAGTATTTACAATTATTTTTCATAATTTTAAATTTAACTGACGTTTCGCGTGCTTTACAGCGTGAATGGTGGTGTTGAATGTCAAAAAGTATGACAGCTGTAGAAAAAGTTGTATTATCTGTATTTATTTCCCCGAGTTGGTATCGACTAAAAGATGGAGGGTTTTGGCAGAAATGGCTTACGGTGTCCTCTATTTTTGCGGATTGTTTATCTTGAGGTTTTAATTTGGATATTATTGGATCCCAGGTGTTTGACAATTTTAGGCCGTCTTCTCTATTAAAATTAGGGTGTTTTTTGATTTCAATGGCTTCGCGTACCAGTCTTGGGAATAATCTTTTTTCTTTCGCAAGTACTTTGAATACATAACTTCAATCCGGTAAAAAAGTGTTTTCTTTAAATGTGTAAAGCTTATGTCAACAAAAGACAATACTATCATATTTCTTTTTTTGAGTCAGGCCGTTAGCGTCTCCAGGGAACCCGATGGAAAATTCCAATTCATACTTTTTCCTATATCTCGAAACTGGTGGAAGTTCAAAAACATCCTGACATTTTTAGCATAGCGCCGGTTACTCTAAACAAATCAGTTTATGTGCTGGCCAAAATTAAAGAATGAAACCGTATTACCGTTCCAAGTAGCTGATAAAAGTGTGTTCCCTATCTTCGTTGAGAGGATGACGGTTTTGGTACGCCGATTAGAAGACTCTGGATCCACAAACGGCGTTTTTTACCCAAGAATGGCGGCCATCTTTTTGGGTTTTTCGGATTAAAACTTTCACGCCAAGTTGCCAACATTTTTGACCCAAAACCATATCATCGTTTAGGCAGGTTTTATCACCATTGCGATCTCTATACGAAACCACTTATCCCTACCCACCACCCTCGTCCCTCCCCCTGCATATAAAAGACGATTAGTGAATGTATAAATGGTAGCTATATATAGGATAATAAAAAAAACATAAGCAATTTAAGGGCCATATTGTCTAGATTAAACATTCCAGCCATTCCGGGTATAAATAAAAACAAAGTTTTATATCGACATAATTTTATTTAAACATATATCTAAACTAATTTCTTCATATTCTGAAACAAAAAATTTATATTAATAATACGTAACATCTTAACTATATCAAGATTTTCATTAATGTTAGTAATTAAGTTGTTAGAGCGAGATAGCCTATTCACAAGAGCAGATAAGCGAGCCGTAGGTGCGTATAGAATACTTTTAGTTCTAGTAACACTAAGTACGATAGAAAAATATAGCAAGCTATAAAGATAAAAAATTTACCTTCAACGATCCCTCCTTGACAGTTCCTCCGTTCAAAAGCGCATCGATTTTGAAACAGCACAAGATGGTTGTCGATCAGGCTAACTCCACAAACAGGTTCAAGGGTGTTCGAACACACAGATTGACAGCCGAGACGTAAAAACATTACATACATAGAACAATACTTGTTGTCTACTATGTCATATTCTGAAATATAATTAAACTGATAATACTTCCGTATCACCTCGACGTCCGTCGTTCTAAAGGCAGTTTTTGCAGCGCACCACCACTATGTGGAACAAGCTGCCCGCTGAAGTATTTCCGAACCAATTCGACTTAGGAACAAGAAAGAACGTACCAATTCTTAAAAGGCAATTAATAATTACGAATTAATTAATTATTAATTAAGGCAATTAATTATTATTATTTTTTTATTACGTACCAATTCTTAATTTGCTCTTGCAGTGTCCATGGGCGGCGGTATCACGTAACATCACGTTAGCCTCCTGGCCGTTTGCCTTCCAAAAAAAATATATATATATTAAATATGGCAACTATATAAAAATTGGTGTGTATCGGCTGAAAAGCGATACTTGCCGCAGTCTAATAGTGGAGGAGGGAAATAAATTTTTTTTATCTGCGTTCCCTAGTTGCCATCATTCCATAAAATCTGATATAAGCCAAGAGGCTGAATTCATTTGGATTATATAAAAAACTAGTGGACCCCACAGACGTTGTCCTGCATGATATTTAAAGCGATTAGGATATTAAGCAAAGTATGAAAGTACCGACTGCAGTGCCATCTGCCGGGCTGATTTGTGAATCTAAACCATTCCCAGATCCCCTTGAACACACACAAAAAATTTCATCAAAATCGGTTCAGTCGTTTGAGAGAAGTTCAGTGACATACACACTCACAGAAGAATTATATATATAAAGATATGGCAACATTTCACTAAATTAGTAATAATCATCGTTCCTAATAATAATCGATACTAATATTATAGAGGTAATGTTTGTGAGGTTGTTGAAAATTCTTTCACAAATAGAAAGCCACGTTATTTGTAAGTGACAAAAGCTAAACCCAAAAATTTAATTTAAGTTTTAATTATTTTTATTCTTACTTTGCAGGTTAAGAAAATTATAAATACAAATTATACGTATGTGGCACACTTTTCTTATATTATATATTTTTATAAGTTTGTTAAATACTAAAAGAATCCACTTGGTTTCAATAAATTATTGATTTAAAAAAAAGGCATGGGGCCTCCACTCCTTTGTCGCCCAGAAGCCTCCAGACCTCTAATCCAGCCCTAATAAGGAAGGCTTGTAGTTTATTGTTTATCAGAATGCCAAATCGTAAAATGACTGCTTTACGAATGATTTGAGCGCGACCGCCGCTGTGAAAACCGCTGTGAGAGTTCGAAAAGTGAGTTACAGAATCGCAAGGCTGGGGTCACTCTTTGTGGTCATTGCAGATATATAGGAACACATATATAGATTAAATTTAATAAATTCTATACATTATACATTGAAATAAATAACTAACCTTAACATAAACTAAAATATATCATTAAAAGGAGTCCCTTTAGGCAAGGTTCCGAAGATACTGGCAGCGTTCCCCCTTTGAATCGCTAGACAAATTCTTTGTCCGAGGTAGCTGCCAGATCTTCGGTCTCCTGTGATTTCGACTAACCTTTTTGATATTTCTTTAAAAAAAAAGTATAATATATCACTACTTACTAAGACTTCCTCTGTATGTAGAGCACATATTACTCAAGATGAGGTGACAACCACTTTGAAACCACTTAAACCGAACAGTCTTCCGATTCAAGCCGCACACGATTTTGTGGTAATCGTTACAATGGTATGGATCGCACCAATCCATCCAGGCTGGGTGAAATGGTTTTTTGAACCGCTTCGTCCATGACTCGTTCATCATTGGTTTCCATATGGCATCTACAAATTCACAAGGCAATATTTTTAAATTATTTATTTCGTACAGTTTCAGACCTGCCCAAAAGAGGTAGCGTCCCAGTTAACTGATTCCGATCCCAGAGTTGTGACATCAGCGATTCAATTTATCAAAATAGATGGCATGTATATGTATATAGTATAATCCTTGGGATTGATTTGCTCCAGCTCAAACAATTTGTATGATTCAAAACTTAGCGATTAAAGTGGCGGAAAGTTTCTTGCCAGTTCTTCTACCCGCTCTACGCCCTTGACTTGCGAGCTGGTAGTAAATGTAAATTTACAATTAACTTCTTTTTTGACGTTGTACAGAATTTGACTTTATACAGAATTCTGGCGCCACTGGATTATTTTATTAATCATACACCTTTAGCTATCTCCTAACTATTGACGTTTTGATCATTATAAGTAAACACTATTAAAATCTTACCGCGAATTCTGTCCCTTATGAAATTCGGATTTTCAGCAATTGCATCAGGGCTGAAACAATCTTTATGTATGTATATTTGTTAAATGAAATAGATTTAAATTTTAATTCGAACTTTTTTTTTTAGTACATTTAACCATGTTGCTGAAAATGGTAAATAAGTTCCTCATATATATTTATTTCTGTGATCCCACGCTTATTTGCTAGATATATTTACATTTCCCGTTAAATTACGAAAGCCGCCCCGATGATGCGATCCAGTTGTCTGTGTAGCGGTAGTGCCTGAAGTGAGTACACAATACACATGCAGGGAGTACGTGTCCGTTGGCGAGGAAGATGGTGATAACGTAAAAAAAAAAACTTACGCAGTTGCATCCTTTCTGAGCTTCACTGAAAAAATATCATGTACTAACTATTTGTTTCAAATTCATTGTCTCTTATTTACTCATTAAATGATCCTAACGTATGCAGTCTTTTCGTAAAATCTGCGTTGGTACTGTGTAAGTTCAAATAGCAACGACGCTTTTAGTTTTCTCAATACTCGAAGTATTGACGTGGTTGGTATAACACGGTTCCAAATTAATATTGAATTAATCACTATCGCTATTGGGAGTTACAGATTACGGGTACAGATGTGTGAAGACCAGACCACATGTCTGCCAACAAATACTTAAATACTGCGTGAAATTCCGTTTTATTATCACACGTTTTGCGTTTATAGTATGTAGAAATCGTATTTTAGATTTTAAATAAGTAAAAAATACCTATCTGTATTAAATTTAAAAACAACAACGCAAAACTCCATTTCATTATAACATTGATTGAAAACTAAAAAGTGCAGTCAGAGAACGTATCAAAATCAAAATTAATGATTATTTTTATTACTTTTAGATTGGTTCTCGCATCGATTTCGTTGTTTTACCTTTAACAATAAATATATTTAAATCTACGTAAGATACTTAACCAGGGCCATAAATCCAAAAAAGTTATGCCCATGTAAAGATATGCCAGATTTTATACAAAACTTCGGTTCAATCTCCGACGTCTGCATGATAATTACATTCTATTGTGGGTTTTACTGTGACTTTAGGATACAATGTAAAACATTCATATATACAAAGCAATAAATATTATTATTCTTGTCCTAAATACCGGATATAAGTACTTAAAGGATTTGCTGATCACCTACTTGCCCATTGGATTGATAAATGTTCTTGAAACAGATTCAGTAATCCGAGGCCCAGATTTAACCCTAGAAAGACAACCTACCTCGACGTAGTCGATTTAAAAAATCTATATTATTTGTTTCCATAAACGCGCCATGGCACTGGCCGTTCCTGTCAACTCAATGGACCCAACTCCCAAGTAGCTTGCAGGTCAGTCGTGATTTTTAGATAAGTGCAATACTTTCGTCATTATATACCTACTGGAGAGCATAAGTCGAGCGCCTGTCCTAAGTGCATTAATATATAAGGCTAACCCTAGCCTTATATATCAATAAAAAAATATTAGTTAAGGTTGATCATTTTATAATAAGTTTAAAATGTTGATTTTAAAAAGTTTATTTCTTATATTAAAGGCTGATGAAGAGACTCCATCATGTTTAAGTTTTTTAGTGTTAAAAGAGCTGTGTTTAGTTTATTTAAGATTTAGCTAATTAAAATATATGTATAGTGTATACACTTATGTTTTTTTATTTATTATTAAGTTAATTGCATATATTAAAGCTGACAATCCTATTCATAAGCATATGATATACAAATTCCAGCATGTTCGCACTCAAGCATTTATACGTCAAAATGACGTATGGTTATCTTTAGTGTATAGCAAAATATGGTTATCTTTCTAGGGTTAAAGAGGTTGTAGCCCGTATGAAATTGGCCGCCCGTGGAGACATAGAGGCTCTATTATCTCTGCCTTTAAATAAACTTAAGAAATGTAATAAAGAAAAGCTGTGTAAAAAGGCTTACTATAAAGTTAAAGATTATCTAGTTGATAAAAGGGCCTGGGACTAGTGCTAGACAGTCTCTGTCTTCTTTGCCGATGTGTCTAATGTTCTATAATAAAAATATATTTTTTATTTCATACTCTGCGAGGAGGCTCGCGTCCACATTGCAAGCCTTTACTTATCTTAAATTGGGAATTGATAAAAAAACAGGTTTCTAGTCAATAAATTTAATACAATATAAAATGTTATGTTCACATTATATAATAAAATATTATCACGCCTTTTTCTCAAGGTAGTAGATACCACGTCTTCCACTTGCTACGGTCCTGACATTCCTCTCTCGCTTAATCCACTTTCATGACATTCACAATGCATACTCGTCAGGGGAATTTTTAACTTCCCTTCTCTAGGCCAGGAGCTACATATTACAAATATATCAAATAAATGCATTATTGAACTCACACATTTACATAATTATGAGGGTAGTTTAAAACAATTTTATTGTTTTTTCGACCAAATTTGTAGATGTGTCATTGTCAATTGTGTCCTTAGAGCTCTTGCATATTTATTTATAGAAAATTGGAGTCTAGCAGTCTTTCAGCTTTGTAATTAAACTTCTTAATGTATAAAAAAAAAACCTTCATACAAAGGTCTTATTCGAAATTAAACATCAACTACAAAACTTTTTCACTATCATACTTTCCAATTTACCCTCTTCCCTCAAACTTTTCCGTTTCACCCCTTTCTCCTCTATATATTGATTAGGAAAACCAATCACTCTATCCGGTTTAAAATAATTAACAAAACCCAATATCTCACTCCGACTACAGTGCGTTGCGAAACACACGTCCACTCGCGTCGGCGACATTCGTTGAATTGGCTTAAATGTGTTACTATTTATCCATTTCATCGCTGAGAGATGAATGTAAAGAAATTGAGGGTAGTTCCTTGGTATGCATGTTGAGTGATTCTTTTCGTCGCGTTTTGTACATAAATGTATGATTGTTTCATTATTGTTGTTCGTCACGCCAGGGACTAGATGTGATATTTTTCTGAAATAAATCAATAAATTAATAAATCTCATTTTGTTAAACATTTTAAAAACCTTAGATTTAGTGGATAATTATTTAAATTTTTTTTTACTCCATATCGATTTTAAATGCCATGTTTTATACAGATAGAGCAGAGATGACTGAGATCTTATCTTGGAGTCACTGCTGTGCACCAATGATATGTAGTCCTAGGTGAAACACACCAGCATTTTAAACCCAAAAATCTATGCAATGTGTCACCTGTCGGCTGATCACCTACTTACTTGTTTGTTATTTATAATCAAAAAAATGGATGCAATCTGTTGCAAGTTGTCAAACTTAAGTTCATAATTATTGTGAATGGTGATGAAAATAATGTTAACCAATCAAAACAAAAGATATATATTTAAAATTAATAATTTATAGTACTTAAATTATACAGTAGGTATATTAATCTGTTGCAAACTTTTTTTTTCAGTTTTTGAAGTTATACTTCTTTAGGAGCGTTATGAAAAATTGAAATTTTACGATGCGCGCGCACAGTGACACAAAATTAACAGAATGAAGTTGCCCACGGAAGATGATACAGCATTGGAAATAATTTAAAAACAACATTCGAATAATAATAGAATTTATGTTACACTTAATGTAAGAGAATAATAATATTTATTTATTTAATTTTTCAAATGTAAACTGAACTTTATTGACTATAATGACTCCTTTTCCAGTCTTTGGTTATTTAATTGTAATAAATTATTTGCATGCAATCAAAAACTATTTTTCATAATGCCAAAGAAATATAACTTGTTACGCGCGTACATAAGTACACGCACCCTTTTTTTTTATAAACATTTTAATATATAAGCTTGAGTAATCCAGATAATTGAAATAATTTTGAATAAGCACAAATAGTACATAAAATCAAATGTGAATACAAACAAACTCGTTTGAACAAAGCCATACACTATCACATTTAATATTATTCAATATACTTTTTATAAATTATACAAAACCTCATTATAGTTAATTTTATACATCAAGGAATTTTTTTTTATTAGCATTATAATACAATAAGTTTACTGGCACATGATTTATTCATTATATAAATATGTAAAATTAAATAAATACCTATAAAACCTCCATCGGTCTTCATTAACATAGACTTTTCTTCCCAGCTTCTCATAAATCTTGTTAAATACATATTCATAACCATACTTTGCTGATGTATGTAACGCGACACCACTACCCGTAGACAAACACCTCTCTATCTCCTTTAAAATTGCGTCTATACTCTGTGACCGTTTTGGAAAATTTTCATAAAGTAGGTCTATAAATGTTGTATCTATATACATTGTGTTTATTTTTATTGGTTTCTCAGCTACATCATGCAAACCTGCATACTTATAAATATCTCTTTCGTTTATTCGAAAGTCACCAGTGAATAATACTGTAGTATTTATAGTTTGGAATAAAAACATAACTGCTCCTACACAATGTCCCGCTGGTACGAGTGTAACCGTCACATATGTTTCATCAATATTTTCTTCTGGAATTCCATCTAATGTTACAAGTGTTGATCCTGCAATAAATTAAAATAATAATTGATTTGGCCCCATACAATTGCATGCTTGTAATAAATATCTTTTTATAGTATTTACCCTAATTAAAATAAAATAAAATAAAAATAAAATATGTTTATTATGGAACATAAGATACATGTATCACTTATTCCACGTCATTAAATTTGAAGGCATCCCTACTCATCGGCAAAGAAGACAGAGGGTGTAGGCCGAGAGAAAAAGCCGGCGTAAAAAACTCTCGGTACTCTTTTAAAACAGCAAATCATCAAACAACACTTATTTAAAACAAATATCGCAAATTGATTAGAAGTAGCCTGTCTAGCACTAGTCCCAGGCCCTTTTATCAACTAGATAATCGTTGACTTTATAGTAAGCCTTTTTACACAGCTTTTCTTTAATACATTTCTTAAATTTATTGAAAGGCAGTGATAAAAGAGCCTCTGGGATTTTATTAAAGAAGAGTATCCCTTTCCCCAAAAAAGAATTACTAACTTTAGATAGTCTAGTACGGGGAAATTGCAGCCTGCGTTTGTTCCGTGTATTAACATTGTGCGTATGTTCTATTCTAGTAAACTTATCACTATTTTTGTATACATACATAATATTTTCATAAATATATTGCGAGGGAAAGGTAAGTATATTAATTTCCTTGAATTTATCTCTAAGAGATTCCCTACATTTTAAATTATAGATTGCACGAATAGCCCTCTTCTGCAGGATGAAAATAGTTTCGACATCAGCAGCATGACCCCATAATAATAAGCCATAAGTCATTAAGCATTAATTCCCTAAACATATAACTCATATTAAAGCCTACAAGGCGAACTTGGACATCAGGTCGGAAATTGGGTTTCTATAATGTTTAATAAAAAAATACAAACATAACAGTTTCTTTCTGATCTATTTCTATTTTTACAAAAATGAATCCTTCTCATAGTAAAGTTATTTTTTATAACAAAGACATGTTGCAGTCATGAGAAAATCTTATAATATATTAATAAAATTGAATAAATGTTTAAACAGTGCTGGTTTAAATTACTTTTAATGGTTACTTTGTGTATACAATATCTCTAGTGTTAAAAGCCAAATTTACCTAATTTCAAGACTTTTATGTAGTCTAATATTGTGTCATCCTTTGTATTATCTTTAATAATGGCAACTGAGAGTTCCGTTGTGTAAATAAAAATGTTTTTTTCCTTGATATATTTAAGTAAGGAAGGCGAATGTAGACCTTGCATATGATCAGAATGACAATGACTTAAGAAATATGCTCTTGGTGTTGTCGATTCTACATATTCAAAATTATCCACATGTAAACCTGTAATAATACAATTTATAAGTAAAATCTTATAATACTAATATTTCATACCATAAACCTGTAGTTTATTAATTTTTTTTTTATTGCTAAAATTATTTTACTAACCAGGTATTTCTTCGATTTTTCCTTGAAAAGAACTTCGTAAAGACCTTTGAAACATTTTTAATTCCCGCGCAATCTTCTAATGAATGATATCCATATTTTGTTTCTTATCTGTAACTTGTTAGTGGTAGTATCATCTTAAAATCAATAAATAAATGCAAATTGCAAAGCAAATAATATTTAAGGTTCTGATACACTTATTTAATACACCGACGGCACTGCCAGTCACAGAACACTATTTCTTCTTTCTTCTTGCTGGCTGCTGCCAGTGGACAGTGGACACTGGACAAAGTGTAAGTCACAGAGTAAGAGTAAGTATCTGCTTTAGAGAATGTTCGTTCCTACAAAAATCGGTATAAATATGTAAATAATTTTGGTCATGCGCCATCATAACAATACTAGTTATGGTGCTGCGAACTAAAACAACAACATAAAAAAAAACGTGTGGCACTCGGGGACTGCCGCGCTAAAGCTATTGTATGCAATAGCTTTACCGCGGCTAAAAAATGCTATGGCATTTTTTATCAACTTATGCAGTTATAATTCATTATTTATTTTTTATTTATGCGGTATTTGTTTTCTTTGATATTATTTCAATCTACCACTCTACCAGACTCAGACTAAAACGCCTATATAGTCTGTCCCACTCTAACGTGTATTTGCCGTACCTATATTACGTCATCGTGTGTAAGGTTTTTTTCGTTACAATTTCTTGATTCGGTCGCCGCGCTCAAATCCCGCGATAAAATCTATGCGATAGCTTAAAAATCAGCCTGAAAATCGCTGGTGCCGCGATACGCAATATTTACCATAATTTTCTATATTGTATTAATCTGAATTACACAAACTTGTATAAGAAGTTTGTATAAATAATTTGAATTCGCTACTGCGAATATCGCATTCGCAATAAAACGGACAAAAACATGATTTTGTGTCTTGGTACAACCACTAGTCTACAAAAAAGACAAAATGCATTAAATTTTGTGCAAAAAATGCTATAGATACTAGACCAATTATAAACGGTGAGGAATTGAATCTGGATGATACAACTGTATTTCTCGGAATCACCATGGATTGAAAACTTCAGTGGTCCCCTCATATTAACGGATTGGCGAAGAGACTTAGTTCTGCAGCCTACGCGGTTAAAAAAATTCGCTCACTAACATCTGATGTCGATACAGCTAGACTTGTTTATTTTAGTTACTTTCATAGCTTAATGACTTATGGCTTATTATTATGGGGTCATGCTGCTCATGTCGAAACTATTTTCATCCTGCAGAAAAGGGCGATTCGTGCAATCTATAATTTAAAATGTAGGGAATCTCTTAGAGATAAATTCAAGGAAATTAATATACTTACTTTTCCCTCGCAATATATTTATGAAAATATTATGTATGTATACAAAAATAGTGATAAGTTTACTAGAATAGAACATAGCACAATGTTAATACACGGAACAAACAAACGCAGGCTGCAATTTCCCCGTACTAGTATCTCCGTTAACCTTGGGAAAAGGGATACTCTTCTGTAATAAAATCCCAGAGGCTCTTTTATCTCTGCCTTTCAATAAATTTAAGAAATGTATTATAGAAAAGCTGTGTAAAAAGGTTTAGGTACTATAAAGTCAACGATTATCTAGTAGATAAAAGGGCCTGGGACTAGTGCTAGACAGGCTACTTCTAATTAATTTGCGATATTTGTTTTAAAATAAGTGTTGTTTGATGATTTGCTATTTTAAAAGAGTACCGAGAGTTTTTTACGCCGGCTTTTTCTCTCGGCCTACACCCTCTGTCTTCTTTGCCGATGAGTAGGGATGCCTACAAATTCAAATTTAATGACGTGGAATAAGTGATACATGTATCTTATGTTCCATAATAAACATATTTTTTTTTTACACATAACATAAAAAGTTTATATACTTAAGATGTGTTAATATTCTACAAATGATAATATTTTCAGGTACTATCGCACTTTAGACGATTGCTGGCTATAATAAGTTTCCTAGGGGTCTAGCCATATTGGTGTCGAAAAGTATTCTACATACACTACCGCTTTTGCGTAATTGTATTGTCGAAAACGCTTCGTTCGTAGCCAAGAGACATGTCGATACATTACCGCAAAGTCGACAGCGTAGATGCGAGCTGCTGTTCGTAGCACCTTATTCCGTCATATTGTCTCTGGATTAAATGTATTCCTAATGTCACTTTTATAAACAAATAAAAGTTAAAACTTTACAATATTATTGTAAATTTGCAATTGGAAGCTACAAAAGGGACATTAGAATGTCAGCAAGGTCGGAGCAATTTTCGATTTAAGTGGAATTTACGGAAGGTGCAAAGTGAATATATGAATTTTAATTGCATGTTTAAATTAATTATGGTTTGTTTCATGTTTTCTCAGAAATTTAAGGCTACAAATAAATACAATATTTTGAAATTGCATAATCGCGATAATATATAATAATTAGTAGTACTCATACTTTGATATTTTTAGGATTTGACCTCACAACTAATCTACAAAATGAAGAAGCAACATATTTTGTTACCGCTTAGAAGAAACAATAAAAATAGTACTGTGGATTGATAAATAAAAAGTCTATGACTAGAAGTTGATAAAGTCCAAGGAATTAAAAAACAATAGAAAAAAAACGTAGACTAGTGTGATCACTGAAATTAGAGTTTGATTTAAGCTTTAATTAGGTTTGGTGTTTGTGCTTGAACATTTTTAATGTCAATTTGAAAGCAGATTTATATATAAGTGTAGATTTTATTAGTGATTTGCTACTAGTTGGAATTATCTCTGTTTATGTCCAACAAACAATTTCAGTTTAAGTTAGAGTCATAAATGTTGATTGTTTATAATATATTTATACTTTTAGAAAGTGAGAATTGAAAAACAGCAAGTACCTACTCAATGAAATGAAAAGAGGAATTAATAAAAATTATAAAATAGAAACTTAGTCTGGTATGAAATTATAACCCTTAATCAACCTTTGATTCCATATTGATGCTCCAACATCTTAGATATAATAGATATAAATTTAAGTTTGATGCTGATTTTAAGTTAATATTTATGTCAATTAACTTTTGGTTATATCAGTGATTTGCTACTAGTTAATATGTAAATGCAAAATCTGTTTAAGTAAGAAATGAATAAACATTGTATGTTATGTATTTGTCAGTTTTATTTTTGGTAATTTACCTATGTCTTCTTTAGTAGGAAAAGCCATTAAAGTGGTTCACAATATTAGTTTATTTTACAAGAATATACAGATAATGCATATATGAATTACCCATACCTACTAATAGTTAGGAATATTAAACAAACAGGTAGCAAAATAAAAATGTTTCAGTTATGGTTATTTTTTATTAAAATAAGGCACCAAATATCTTCCTTAACATAATGCAGTCTACATAGAAAAATAAGCATATGTAACAACTTATTAAACAATACAGACATTACTACTGAACACACGCAGGTGCACCAAATTAAATGCATTACTACCTAATGATGTATTCATATATGTAGATAATTAACTAATGTAAGTGTTAATTTGCAGCAATGTCAATATCTTGTTTGTGTGCTGTTATATACAAAAAATTGTTCAATTCATAAAACCTAACGTTAGATGTTGTGATGATTTCATAAAATTACTATGATACCTACAGTTACTATGAATACATCCTGGGCGATTAAAAAAATAGTGATTGTTTCCTTAACACAACAATTGTAAATAATAATAGTTATTGTAAAGATATAATTCTTCCCAAAATCTACAAATGCAGTTTGTTTATAATAATATCTCATTAATATATCTATATCTCATCAAAATTCAAATTTAATTAAAAGATAAGACTTTAATAAAACCTGTCCATTTGTGGTTTTTTTAATACTTTTAGTTGTCTTTTTCTGAAAATAAAATATTTTAGTTAGTACTTTGATCAATAGGTAACTTTAATATTAAAAGTCTTTACTTCATTCTAAACTTAAAAATATACTTAATTTGTCACTTTGCTGCTTATTGTCAATTAAAGTTTTTAATAACCAAACAATGTCAGTAACTCCCAAAGGACTTGAATTAAAACTTCTCATTCATTAACAATATTATAATAACTTCTCTAGTATATTAACTTAGTAAATAATTAAAGAAAATATCTGCTTACCATTAAGTACTTAGTATTGCTCACTATATTTTATATTTCCAAAGTTCATGAAGTAAAAATCCACTTTATTTGATTAATTTAAATCAATATTATATCATTAGCTTCTATTATAATTACAATAAAATATATTTAGAACTTCTAATAATGTTCATTAGTGACTGCTTTCTCATCTGAAATATACAAATATTATGTACAATCATTTTACTTTGTGATTACATAATATAAGCAATATTAAATGGTATATGTATTTTTCAAATTAAAGAAAAAATAAAAGATATCCAATATAACTAGGATTTACCTCTACTAATTTGCTGATTTTCTTGATATTTTCATATTTATCTGTGTCTATTATGTTATCCTCGCATTGATTCAAAGAAAAACTAAAACTCTTAACTTAAAAATATTGACTCTAGTTTAAATTATTATAATTACACGAGAACGTTAAAAAAGACAGATAACAAATTAAAACCATTTCGTTAAAATGTCCAATATATGACATGTTTTTAAAACGGTAGCCATTAAAGATGGCGATAGTTGTACTGAATTATTGCAAACAGCAGCTTTTGAGATCACGCTAAAACATGGCGGAGAAACGCCGTTTTTTCTACACTGCCGAAACATTAATTGGCCGTTGGCTACCGAATAGCGTAAGCGTTAATGTGTCTTTTCGTAGCACTGTCATGGCGTCGCTTATTGTATCCCGACTCACGCCTTTAGGGCCTAGGGCTACCAACTGTCGACACGAGCTGTCATTTTCATACAAATTTAGTTTTCGACTTTCTACATACACTACTGTTAAGCCATCTTGGCTAGACCCCCTAGTCTGTTAGCCGACATGCCAAAAGGTGATCTTGACAGTTCACACTTCACTGTAACATTGTCATTAGTTAGATAAAGTCGTGTTTTGTGATTTTGGCCTTTGTTTGTGTTTATGTGTGTTGAATTACCATGTACTTCATAATAAAGACCATGGCATAAAGTTTAAAAGCTTTACCACTTTTAGCCTAAAAGTTAATAATTTTTAAGTGAATAATGTTTAGTGAATAGCTGAAAACAATCCGTAATAATTATGTAAATACCTAGTCATTTTTTACGTTCGATAATTTTTATTAATGTATATTTTATATTATTGAAAAGAAGGTTTCATACCCTTCTATTTTATAGAAAGGTAAAGTAGGCTTCTAAGTAAATTGTATTGTGGGTTCCTATTAAGATTAAGGTAAGTCTTTACTAATAGGTATTTTTTGATAAATTATTGCTAATGTTATTTTTCCTAAGACACACAAAACTATCTAAGTAGTAAGTATGCCGAGTTGTTTGCTATAAGGATCTGAATATTGCTTTTTAATTTTTGAAGGTGCAGTTCCTTACATTATTTTTCTTTTATCTGTTAAACAAAAAGTCCCGTTTGGTATTTTGAAGTGTTTCTTTGTTTAAGTTATTTTTTATTTAGAGTATTTTAAAATATACATAATTAATTTCTATAAAATTATTATATCCTGTATATTAAACAATTGTGAAGAATGTGGGTAGATAAGTATTTAGTAATTCTGCAATAGTATCCTTTTACAATGTTATATATGGGGATGATTTTTGTTTCTGTCATGTTAAGGGAATATAGGTAATTGGTTTCTCCATTATCTTCTCTTTCTCACCACAATATATCAACTACAACATGATTCTAAAGAGGTAAAACCAAGTTCCGTTTTCAATGGAATTGGACTTTTGGTGCTGCAGGTGTTTCTAAATGCCCTGATCTACCTGCATCCTATGAAAAAGTCTATTTACTAGGAATGTTTTATTTTTTCAGAATGTCTGAGCAATCAATACCCCAATTATTTGTTGAAGGACAGTTTCTACCTAACAAATGGCTGCATACTAAAATAGAAACTGAGTATAACATTAATGGGAAAGTGTTTACTATACAAAATGATGATAATGATGTCTATTATAAATTTGAAGTTGTTTCTGATACAGACAGTTTGGGTGAGAGTAGCAGTGGATTACTTGACAAAGACGGTAAAAAAAATATATTTTATATTCGTCACCAACAATTTAAAAAAAAAGAAGGCATGCAATGGAATGCAAATGAATGGTCTAGATCAGTGATTCCCAAAGTGGTCTATATCAACCCCTAGGTGTCTATGACAACCTGCATGGGTCTACGTCAGCGAAAAAAAAATGGGGGTCCATGAAATGAAAATGGGGGTCCACGCTAGTGGATCTCAACACATACAGAGATAGTACTGATTTACTTACATCATACTATCTTATAATATCAAAACATATACATTATATTGACTTATTGCTTATGTTATTTTATTTTATGTTTATTTAATGCTATGTATATTTTACATAACAGATACAAAATTTTATTTTGAGTAGTTTTAATTTAAATTCAATTAATAAATGTATAAATTAACAGTGTTTTTACTTTAAGTTCTTAACACTAAACTTCACTACAGTTAGAAATTTACAGGAAATTAATATCAGGTAAGTAGGGGGTCTACCCAACACGGAAAAACATGGCAAGGGGTCTACGACACAAAAAAGTTTGGGGAACTGTGGTCTAGATGTTAAAAGCAGTTTTATTCAGCCTACCCACCCAATCAATAAATCTTAATAATTAAAATAAAAATACTAAATAACTATTAAAACTATGAATTTTAATAGTTATTGCTAATTATTATGATCAATACTTTGTATTATAACTGGCTGGTTGAGGAGTTTGGTTATTATTTGTTTGCTTTTGTGTTTTTCTTAGGTCCTAATTAACAATATATTCTTGCGTTAAGTTGTCCATATAGAGGAGTCCACACTAATATCATTAGGAACAGATAATGATTGAAAAAAATGTATTGCAACATTTAAAAAATATTTATTTTTGGAGATTTGGTTGTATTCATTCACAAATACTTGGAGCGGCTAGAATGGAATTGTTGTAGTTCTCTTGAAAAAAGTGTGGCTTATGCTTTAACAGTGATTCACATTGTTTGTGAAACATGATACTATTATTTTTTTTTTAATTAATGGTCAAGTACAATATTTATAATGTGCTAGACAGGTCACAGATTATTGTGGGTGTCACAACTCAAACAGATATATAGCTGTGATCTGATACCACCATTGTCATTGTACCACAATGATAAGCCCCATGGTCATGGAATTTTAATGACTGAATCATTCTCAAATCTGCTAATTATTGACTTTTAAAATTTCTTTTATCAGTTGCAGGAATATTTTTAATTAATATATTTTTATATTATTACTAGTGATTATCTGATTGATGTTTCTTCAAATAGGAAAGAATACAATGACAATATTTTCTTTTGGACTATTTCTTATCTACAAATTATAAATTTTATGTGTTTATTATTTCAGAGTGCAAGTTCCTTCCTGTGTCCATAAAAAAAACACTTTATGGTATTATTGTTAACGATGAAATAATTGTTCCAATTAATAATTGGCATACAATAATAACGTTGGAAGATCACATTTGGTGCTGTGTCTGTTTGGACATAGATGCAGATGCGATTACTCACATCAAAAGCGGTATACATATAAAAAGTATGAATAAGTATCAGCCTCTGGACAGATTTGATTTGAACCTTGTAAGATTGGTAAGTGTAAAATCATTTTCACAAAAACTACACAGGAGATATTATTTTTAAATTTGTTTATGTATGGGAGCGTTCAAGTATTACGTAACGCAATTTGGGGGGAGGGGGGAGTCATTTGAAACGTTACAGTGCGTTACATGGGCCGGAGGGGGTTAATTTTTATTTTGATAAAAAAACTAGGAGATTAATTGGCAACCCTTTTCGTTTATGTTGTACGGGGAATCCCTTTATTGTATTGTACGTTACTTTTATTTTTGCTTTCCTAAGTTTATGTTTCGGGGAATCCCTCGACTCGACCTCGATTAAACTCGTTTTATAGCATCCTGTAACTAAACATACATCTTTTAATTGACTATGAATTCTTTGTAAATATAGTACAAATATAAATATCAGAAAAAACGGTAATCCAATTAATAACATATAACTGAACTTAAGAAGTATATTGTGCCCTTTTTCTAATTCACAATTATGCGAATTTATGTCCATTGGTTTATGTATGTTAACAAAGCTTAAAGCTATGTTTGATTTTAATATGATTATTGATAATTTCAGATTGATCAATACTACCACTGTGCTGTATGCAACGAATCATTCCATAAATCTGAAGAAAATCATTTTGACAGTGAAACTCATGAAAACAAGATATTGTATGCAATCAACCATTGTTCAGATGTTCAAGATATGCGGAATATTGACAAACTCACTTACCCATTTGACCCCTTGTTCGCTCATTTGTTTGATTCCTCACAACCTCAATCATCTGAATCCTCGATCCCTCATTCAGTCGAACCGTCGCACTATCATTCAATCGAACGCTCACCCAATGAATCACCTAGTGTATCATCTTCAAGTTCACGCGCAGATTATGTAGAGAGCGTCAGTATTACAAGTGAGAGTGGGATTGATTTCAATGAAAATGATGGATTTTATGATATAAACTGGGAGAACAAGCCAGTTGAACGTTCATATGCATCTGTTGCTGCGGCTGTGCCAAAGCTATTTTGTAAGTATTTACTTAAAGTGACATTTATCATCGTACTTGATACCATCTGGCAGTGGAGCAGAAACTTATTGTCCATTTTTCTAGTAAGAAGGTGAAAGCCTTGATTGACATATTTCCTTAGGGAGCATTAAAGTATTACATAACGAATTTGGGGGGGTCCTTTTTTAAAACGTTATTTAATTACGCGTTATTGTTAATATTATTTTCGACTTTTCAGTACTTTACAAAACATAATGGTAACTTTTAGGTATAAAGAGTCACTTGGGTACAGAAAAACGTTACGGCGCGTTACACGGGGGGAGGGGGTGTCAATAATCTCCAAAAATTGCGTGACGTAATACTTGAACGCTCCCTTACCCGTCTAATAAAAAATTTGATACTTGTGTACTAAGATACAGTAAACTTTTTAATACAATAAACTTTTATTTAAACCCGCATATCTACCCTGGATATTCTAATAACTTTTAAACAAAAAAACACTTGTTTTGAGAAAATAATAAATATTGGTTATATACCTAACACAGCTGTTTAAATACTTTAGAGTTCAGGAGTGAGCAACTATTGTTTTACTTAGGGAATTTAATTATAGAATAAAATTATATATAAAACACCGGAATAACACACCCATACAAGAGTGTGTGCGAAAAAAGAATCGTCGTAGCATTTAAAGTGCACTTACGTCATTATAGTTCGACAGTACATCATGATAATAGAGTTTCATAAGTTCATATGCCATGCCGTTTCTCTTCACGCACAGATCAATCAGCCATTTTTCATACAGTCCATTTTAAAAAGCCTACTTTATATATATGCATAGTGAATATAACCAATTACCGTCTATTGTCCAAATTTTTACCTGACGCATAGTACTGTTTGTACTTAATCTGAAATTCTACCTACCTGCATTAATTGCGATGCTAAATAGAAGTCAGGTATAAAATGGTAGGCCGAGTCGCATGTCCGTTCCATTTAGATAATTTTGTTAAATAAAAATAATACATATGTCAAGACAGGTAGGGGCGTTAGAATTTAGCATATACGAGTATATATCGGGCAACACTACGGCTCGGTGACCTAAAGTGTTGCCAGTTCAATGGTCGATTCTCGACTTAAAATGTCCCGGAGTTGTGGGCAAGCTTTTCACATTTTATGGCCATTTTGAAAACAAGTCGCTATTAGTGCAGACATTTTAACGAACTTTGTCATCTGTCAAATTTAATAACCATTTGACAAGTGACAAATAAATTTGCTTTGATAATGTTTGATTGCATGCGTTTACTCTCCCAAGTGTCACAATCGTATTCGATTGACAGTTGGAAGAGTATAACATTTCTGTTGAATGGAATTATGATTTTAGCAATATCTTTTTTTTTAGTTATAAACTGGTTCGGTAAAAAATGTAAGATTGAAAAAGATTCTTGGAACATGATTTTAAAGATCAAGAGCCATATCATCTATTGTATGGCATGTAAAATAATCGATGATGTCCAGCAAAAACGTAACCATTGCTTAGAGAAGACACATATAAAAAATCTCAAATTGTGTACACCAGTTGAGAAATACAAGAATTACGTTATAAGAAAGGTAAAGAAATCTTAATATTGTAAATCTATTTTTTTTACTCGACAAACATACAACTCGCTTCGGGTGCAGTATAATAACGCATTTAGGGTGTTGCTGGGGCTGCCTCGCTTCTGCAGTGCATCAAGAATGTTTGCAGAGGCGCGGGTGGATTGCTTTTTCGCCACTATGCGAAAGCGGTGCGCTTCTTTGGTGCGCCGGGTGCGGGGCAGCTCCAGCAACATCTTACGGATGATAGTCGAAAGAATGGAGTGCCCCTATTTACGACACTGCTCCGACATCTCCGCAGGGCTTTGTACCTGATAGTTTTTATTTAACTACTTTTTCCTTATTTTTACTAATTCTCTAACATAGATCTTAAGAAACTATTGTTACTAACTCACTAATCAATCAATGGACTGTATTTGTCTGATTTAATTATTATTATTATTATTATTGGTTAATATTAATTACAAAAAAACACCTATGAGCTCAGTGAGGGCTATTTGGTGATGAAAAATAAAAGTATCATTGAGAGTTAGGGCGAGGCCCCACTGCTGCGTGGCGCTGCGCTGCGTTTTATACATGTATTTGTTTCAACTGATCGACGGACAAGAGACGAAGCAGGGCGGAGGGTGATCAGTATTTCTTAACATTATCAGAGGAGATATCCAGAACCATAGAGATATCTTCTATGGTTTCTAAGTTTAATTCGGCGGTGGCGTAATAAAATCAACAAAAGAACACGTTTGTGTCTGTCCATTACGAAGGCTGAGACGCAGATGCGACGGCGTGTATACGCTCTTGCGTCGCGACGTCGTGCGTCGACGCAGTTGTGGCATACAATGCGTCGATCCGATGCGAAAACCCGACGCAATGCAGTAGTGGGGCCTCGCTCTTACAGATAACTCTTTAACTTACGAGATATTGGAGTAAAATAACTTAATAAACAGTAGGTAATTGCAGCAGCGTTGGCCTAGTGGCTTCATCTCAGTCCTTCCACTCTCATCCCTGAGATCGTACGTTCGTGCGCATTTAACATTCCCTCCAACAGTGACATCGTGAGGAAACCGGCTTGCCTTAGACCCAAAAATGGCGATGGATGTGTTCAGGCACAGGAGGCTGGTCACCTTGCCTATTAGATTGAGAAATGATCATGAAACGGATACAGATTATTATACACATAAATTTTTCAAAGTATTGAATTACCATGTCTGTCACGTGACACAAAAATCAAAAAAACGCTTTGCTTCTTTTTTTTGATATCCGAGGTGGAAATAAATGCCCTGCCCTCAAAAGTTGCAGGGGTATGTGGGACTCGGCCCACACCAAAATCTCTGCTATTTAGAGACTGGTTGTGCAATACCCACTAAAACCACCTCGAGTAGTTCCTACAAAGGCTCCGGGGTCGCTGTCGCATTCTAACGGGACCTCAATGGCATGTTACACCCAAAAACCTCCGGTGCATACTGCACTACACTGCACACACTACATAGGAGGTAGGAGATGGGCAACTACCCATAGCACCTAACAACGAATTACCAAAAACCCTGTAGAAATTATTATTAGGTCATGATTACGTCAAACGCGCACATTCCAACTTGGTTAGCGAAGCACCACTCACGCGAGCAATACACATAATAAATAAGATTTCTCTTAAGGTAGACCTATTTGTTTGTACACTGGCTGAGTTCACAAGAGTTGCTTCCTATATTATTAGTTATAAGATGTAGGTATATAAATATATATATTTTTTTTAATGTTTTTTATCTAGGTTAATTGGTGTGGGTATAAATGTTGTGTCGTTCTATTGAATTAGTAATTACTGTAATGATAGAATAATGATATGGAATAAATAAATAAATGATAAGCATAAAGCCTTAAATTGTGACTCAAACACGCCATACGCACGAATAATACATAAAATCGAACACGTACATACATTACTGATAATAAATATTAATGATAAGCAACTACAGTCAAAACCTGATATAGCGACATTGAAGGGACCACAAAGTTGCCGACGGTATATCCGATAGTTGTTATAAGGGAGCGTTCAAGTATTACGTAACGAATTTTGGGAGAGGGGGGTCCTTTTGTAAAATGTTACGATGCGGGGCGGGGATTGAATTACGCGTTATTTTTAATATTATTTTCGACTTTCCAGTACTTTACACCACATAATGGTAACTTTTAGGTATAAAGAGTCACTGGGTGGTCACGAAACGTTTTACTATTAGGTACAGAAAAGCGTTACGGCGCGTTACATGGGGGGGGGGGTGTCAATAATCTCCAACGAACGTGACGTAATACTTGAACTCTCTCTAAGCAATACACATAGATAGATAGTTACATTAGTTGTGTAGTTATATTATTATAGGTACATATCTATCTATAATAGGTATAGGTTATGTATGTGAACTTGTTTTCAAATGAAATGTTAGAAAAGAAATGAAAATATTTACACTTAGCTGCTTACAGTACGGGTTATAAGACTACACTAGTTTTTAAAGTAATCATTCATTTTAGTCTGGTTTTTTGAATTGGTGTAAAATATGCAAGGTCAAATGGCCGGGAAGAGCTTCATATGAGGTGGTAGAAAGTGCGTAGGTTAAGACGACTCATTGGTCTAGTGGTTAGTACCCCTGACTGCGAATCCATGGGTCCCGGGTTCGAACATCGATGTGATGAGCATTTGGTGTTGTGCTTAGGTCTTGGGTGTTTAAATATGTATTTATATGTATATCTATCTATGTATGTATATCCGTTGCCTAGTACCCATAACACAAGCTTCACCAGCTTAGCATGGGACTCGATCAATTGGTGTGAATTGTCTTAAAAAAAAAATACGCGCCTAAATATTACTTAAATGCTTATCAATAAGATTTAAAATCGTCCGCATTGTTTTGCTGGGCCAAGAAGCGGTTGGTCGTTATAGTCGATGAATATCGATAAGGTATCGTCGTTGTAAGCGATATGTCGCTGTATCCGATGTTATTATAGGCGGTATGTTTGCTGAATAGTTTTCTAGAGAATCGGGCGGGACTTTACAATCTAGTAATAACCGATCGGTCGGTCCTATCATGGATGTCCTCCGTAGGCGAACATAACAGACTCCCTCAAAGACGCACCCATTAAATTGGGCATGGGCTGCAATGACTGCCCCTTTTGGGAGTATGCTCCTTTTTTAACTAATACTTTTAATATACGTACTGTATTCAGTACGTATATTAACATTTTCCCACCTCATTAACATTTTTCTCTTCTACGAATCCGGTCGCTTCACGAAATATGGTACAAAAGTCTTGTCTAAAAGAAAATGTTATGTCTTTTTTTATCCTATTTTAGTGATATCATTATGATGTAAAATAAAGAGGTGTTATTATTTTAGGTAGACGAGAAATACCACCACTGTGCCAATTGCAATAATCTTCAAGCAGAGGATAGGGTCGCTGAACATATTGAAGAGGCACACAAACAAAAACCGAAAACGCTGAAAAAGCCAAGAAAACCGAGAAGTGAAATCGAAAATAAAAATGGAAGCAAAATAAACAGTAACAGTTTGCAAAATAACGGCAATAAGCGTAAAGTTACTGAAGGAAAGGTTCAAGAAATTACCGTCACAAAAAGTAAAGGTCCAGAAAAAAAAGACACCCAAAATCAAGCTATAGACGAGATCAAAATTAAAGTCCAAGAAATAAACGAGATCGAAATTCAAGGCCAAGCAATAAACGAGATCGAAATTAAAGGCCAATCAATAAACGACGTCGAAGTTAAACGCCAAGCAATAAACGAGATCGAAATTCAAGGCCAAGCAATAAACGAGATCGAAATTCAAGGTCAAAAAGCCAATGTTATCAATTATCAAGAAAAAAATAATGATATAACCAACAGTGAAATTATAATACAGCAATTCGGTTGTAGGATAAAAATATTATTATTATCGTATCATTTAGTGTTTATTACCCTAAATAATGATGCTTACTGCAATCTGTGTAATAAAACAATGAGTAAACTGTATATTTCTCAGCATCTAAAGGACGAAATACATATATTTTTGTTGCAGCGATTGTTCATACCAAGTATGGGCGTTAATTTAATAAGAACTGTCAATGCCATTGTTGGGAATGGACACCTACGGGTATGTTTCAATATTTAATGTATTACATTAGATTAGATTGTTAAACATACAGTTAATATTGATATGGTCTCTATAAGATGTTACGTTGCTAATTACGTAATAACTTGAGACAAGATCCCTTAAGGAGGGTCTGAATTAACAGACTTGGTATTACTTGGATATCTCCGTGTACATTACATATTAAAGGCCAAGCAATAAATGTCATCGAAAGTAAAGGCCAAGCAATAAATAAGATCGAAATCGATCGATATATTATTGTTTTACATAAATACAATGTAATACAATAATGCATCTCACAAGTTATACATATTATATTAAATTAAAGCTTAGTGCGATTGCCAAATCTATTCATTTAAAACATACAATTAATATTGGACATTATAGGATGTTAGGATAACTAATTACGTGATAACAGTTGGTTTTACATTACGACGTTTTACGGTAGGATTTAATTGCGAGACTTGGTTTTAATAATAAGCTATTATATGTTCTGATAGCTTTTGTTCAAAGCAAGTAGACTCTTCTTTCACAAATCCATGTCATATCGTAGATTTTTAGGTGCTCAGATTCAGAGTTAGGCGAAGTCTGAATCCGGGTTTTTTTTAACGGGTTTTTGGTTTTGAAATATTTCCGAACCAATTCGCACACTCCGGGTCGACATCCGGACGATTCCGGATAACGAATTCTAATAATTGTTTTTTTTGTAGTTAAATGCCGGGTTACATTGCGCTTTATGTCATTTTGTTATGAACAACAACAGTATGGATCTGATCAGGCACATAACGACATCACTTCATATTTTTAACTTAAATAAAGCCCTTCGTAATGGTCAAACCCAGGATGACAATACAGAAGAAAAGAAAGAACAGAGGCCAATAGAAAAAGGAAATGATGAAGAAAATAAAGTTAAAGATACACCAAGAGATGTTGTTAATTTAAATAAAACCCTTTCTAATTGTCAAAGAACCCAGAATGACAATACAGAAGAAAAGAAAGAGCAGAGGCCAATAGAAAAAGAAAATGATGAAGGAAATAAACGTGAAGATACACTAACAGGTGTTAATTACTTAAATACAGCTCTTTGTAAGGGTCAAAGAATACAGGATGACGATACAGAAGAAAAGAAAGACCAGAGGCCAATAGAAAAAGACAATGATGAAGAAAATATTAAAGGTGAAGGAAATGAACGTGGAGATACACCAACAGGTGTTGCCAACTTAAATAAAGCTCTTTGTAAGGGTCAAAGAACCCAGGATGACAATAAAAAAGAAAATAAATACCAGAAGCCAATAGAAAAAGAAAATGATGAAGAAAATATTAAAGATACACCAATAGATGCACAGCCAGATAAAGATAATTTGATCAATAATGAAAAAGTCTCTGAAGCAAATATTAAACATACTGAAAAAGTAATTCGCAAATCAAAAGTTATTTCAATTTTAAAAGAAAATAAAACAGAACGAGATCCAGTGATCGAGATATATACCGAATTAGTTAATCATTTAAAAGATCAAGGTTTATGGAATGATATAGGTGACCTGCGTGTAAATGAAATTTTCTTTGAAATAATAATGGCTAAGTTGAAGAATAAAAATTTAAAAATTAGTTTTGCATCTTACAACACATTTGTATCTGTGGGTAACGGAACTTGGTATTGTGTTGTGTGCTCTGTGGATTTTTTAAAAATGGGCGTGCACTTTACTATTGATGGCCATTTGAAGAATTTAAGAAAACACACGTTTATAGACAAATACGATGTTAATTTAATTCGTCGGGTGAGTTTTATATGCTTAAATTTTGTTGTTGATTGCCTCAGCGTGCTACTGTCATATCTGAAGTCATATGTTCGATCCCCGGCTGTGCACCAATGGGCTTTCTGTCTATGTGCGCAATTAACATTCCTTTCGTACGGTGAAGGAAAATATCGTGAGGAAACCGACTTGCCTTAGACGCAAAAAGTCGAACGGCGTGTTTTAGGAGCAGAAGGCTAATCACCTACTTGTCTTTTAAGAAAACTAAATGATCACGGAACACATACAGAAATCTGAGGCCTAGACCTAAAAAGGTTGTCTGTTACATAATACCTTAGGGGTTAAGTGTAATCTGTTTAAATGTCTGTGTCTGTTTATAAAAAATGTTATGGAGTAAAATATACTTTGAAATAATCTTTCATTTATCAAAACATTTATTGAGTTTAAACGTCAGTGAGACGTCACGTGACAGAAAACAGTCAAAAAGAATCAAATAGAGGATGACATATGGTGCGTTCCACTAAGCGCTCACGACGATCACGCTCACGACCGCTGATTTCCCCATTCCACTTGATTTTGAATGTTACTGTCGTTAACTCAAGTGGAATGGATTATGGAGCGTTTCGGGCGTTCATGTAAATATTACAAATGTCAAGTTTGAAAATAGTAGAATTTTAAGGAGGTTAGGTAATCATAAACAATAAGTTTTGATATTTGTGACTTAAATTTATTTATGTTAAAAGTGAAGAATAATTGAATATTTTATAAATAATTTTGGTGAAGTTATCAAACAACTTAAGTTTAAATATAATCGAAATGGCTTTACAATTTCTCTTTCTGAATCAAATAATGTGATTTTTCTTGTCGCCATCTTTAAGCTTTGAATATAATAATATTATTATTTGTCATATTTCAAAAAAAAATTCAAAAATTGCGCCAAATTATTCTCAACGTTCACAACGACCCACCTCTTTAGATGGGTCGTTGTGAGCGTTGCGTGAGCATTAGTCATGACGTCATGACGTGACGTTTTCGCAGTGACCACAACGACCGCGGTCGGTATGTGGAATGGCTAAAGGAGCATTTGATCGTCGTGAGCGCTTAGTGGAACGCACCAATAGTATGGTTCTAAATAATATGTCTTGCGAGTCTAATTTCGTCGGAGACTGATATTGATTTAAAAACTTGACAATTGTTTACGTTAAGCATGGTACGACGCCATATTGTCTAGAGAAGCGTTTTGGCGGGTTCTTTAATTTATGAATGAATTAAAAATAACATTTTGAATAGCTTCTTTAGCAACTAATAAGTAATTTGAAATAATACGTTTTTAATTTAATTGTTTTTTAATTCCAGAATAGGCAATATTATCACTGCGGAATATGTAACGTAATAACCACAAAAGAGGAGTTACAAACACACATAACATGGAATGAACACAGTAACAATTTGTCTGATAGTATGAAAAATCGGCACAGAAATTTAAAAGGTTTAAAAACAATCGAACTCAGTTTGGGAAAGGAAAAACAATTCGACGACATTTTGTTACATACAAAAATTGTTGCAAACTATAAATTCGAAGCTGTCAACACTACGAGTGTTGCCAAGAAGAATAAAATTATCACGCACGCTGGCAAATCTTTTAAATTAACGTGGGACGCGTGGCAGGGTGTTACGAAGAATAAAAATGGCTACAAGTGTATATTCTGCAGGGTAGATATGAAAAACTACGATTTATCAGGTCACGTGAATTCAGAAAGGCATACAATATTTTTGAAATCATTTGAAAAGAAATACTTGCCTGCATTGATAAGGAAGGTACGTTTGACACAATTCGATTTTGCGACTTAGCTAAGAATTTTTTTTAACTTCATATTTGTGATTTTGTGCGCATTTAACATTCCCTCGTACGGTGAAGGAAAACCTGAGGAAACCTTTCTTACACCTTAAAAATTGACGGCGTGTGTCGGGCACAGGAGGCTGCTCACTTACTTGCCTATTAGATTAACAAATGATTTATAAACAGATACAGAAATCTGAGGCCCAGACCTACACAGGTTGTAGCACCACAGATTTATTTTATTGTATTTTTGAGTACATCAAATGTATAACTCGGAGAAGTGCCCAAGTTTTAAAATCAATTTAATATGCATTTTTGAAAACGTATAGGTTAATTTGTCTTAATTATTAAAAAACAAAACAGTAATTAACATTTAACAAATTATAGTTAAAACATTAAAAATAGCAAGTAGATACACATATTAGCAAATAATATTAAATAAAACGACGGTTTGCAGAAGTGAAAACTTGAATATTAACGATGTGCATTTGTATTAGGGAATAATTTTGCACGAATTGCTTTAATTATCAGTATAAAAGTACTATCATTTATGTGGTAGAATATAATATTTATTTATTACGCTATCGTACACAAACATGACAATTTATATTACATTAAATACGCCGCACCAGCTGTCTACTCTCCATCCGTCGTCAGTCTGACCAAATCGTTAATAATAAAGCTTTAGACGATTCGACCTTGAAGTATTGACTTAAGGTCCAATTCCACATGCATCAATGTATCTGAGGAAAGAGACAAATGAATTAAAACCGTAACTATATAAAACGAAGGTTCATAATCCTTAAAAAAAACATCCGTCTTACGAATTTGTCCTGACGCGAGTTTAACATTTTTACCCATTCCAAAAAAAGTGTACAACGCCGCTAAAGAAGTTTTTACTTCAAAAATAGAAACACCAGTTAAATTTAATTTCATACTCCTTGTATTATTTACAATGAAATGCTAAGAAACTCCACCGGAGTAATTTTTTTCTTGCATCCTTTTGCGATATTTTTTATAGGAACCGGCTATATTTCTAAACACATTTTGAAAAACCATACTTTGTTTTTTTAAGTTAGATGTTTCATTATCTATATGGTTTTGGTGGTGTCTGTACTTTTAGTTTATATGTTAATCAATAAAAATATAAAACATTGTAATATCTTAATCATAATGGTTTTACAATATTTCTTGTTACACACTAACTAAGAATATTTTTATACCCAAACCTCGACTTTTTTCGCAGCAAGATTGATTTTATATAAATTTATTTGTTTTAGATCAACGACTCGACTGTCAATTGCCTTACTTGTGCTAGTGAAGTATCGAGCAAAGAACATATATTATTAGATCACATAAAAGGTAAAAAACACTTAAGAAACCACAAATACATCCTTAATGCGTCAGATAAAAGTTGCTATGATGATGTACTTAATCTGTAATGTCTATTGTCTATGATGTCAACTGTCTATGATGTTTGTCAACTGATAATGACATTTCTCTAAACATTTTTTATATCTATAAATATGTTTTAAAGACTGATTCAATTTTTTTTTCTATATTTTATATCTTTATTGTTTCGAGTCGTTTGGGAAAGAACTTTAAAAGTCTACGACTCGTTGCAATTATGCTGTTTAGAGTATTGCTTGTTAGACTGTTTTTTTTTTTAATTTGGAATCTTTTATGTAATTATTCGCGGCCAGGCTCAACTATTCGACTTTCGACTTCACCTAATATATTCTACTTTCAAATAAATATTAAACGTCAGTGAAATACTGACGCATAGACAAGATGTTTAAAGGTTAATTTTATATTTTAGATTAATTGTGAAAATGCCTCGACTTCTATTGTAATACAATCGTTTTAAATACAGTAGAACCTGTATTCAATTATTCTTACTATCCCGTATAAAACGTGATATGCCAATGCCTAAAAACACTTCTTCCCGCGTAAAACGCGTTGTTGGCTTAAATTGAAATCGTCTTTAAAACGTTTGTATGATTTTGTCCAAGAAATATGCATTTTAATATTATTTTCTGTGTGAGGCTGCATTGCACATTCCGACTATTTTTTAAGACAGAGTCATAGATTAAATCAAGTCTATTAGTACATTATATATAATAAACGGTGCAAATTTTAGTTAACTCTTAAATATTACTTAAGCTTGCATTTATAGTGGATATAAGTATAAGTGGATAAATCCTTAATAAATAGTTTTTGTAGCTGGTAACTTTAATGATTATGTGTGGGAGTGACTGACTGTGATTCTCATTCTATTTTATAGTGATTTTCTCCCTTTGATAACTTTTCTTTTTTACCTTTTCTATTATGCAATACGTAAAACGTTTATAAATTAACTTTATATTTACTTTTTAATCTTTTACAAAAGAGACCAAAGTAATTTGTCGTGGCTTGTTTTAATCCAATTAAAACAAATTAATGCTACAAATAAGTGATTTGTAATATTTTGGTAAAATTTATATTTTTGAATTCCCCTTCATTTTGTATAGCGAATTTATTAGTAACTTTTTGTGTAAGTAAAGTTATTTATTAGGAAATACAGATTTAGGGTAAATTATGTCGAGACTTAGCGCGAACTATGACATATTATGTCAAAACGCAGTACTTGACGTATGTGTCATTAGCCCACTTGCTCCTTTGTCATAAACGTCATAATTCCCGCTAAGACATTTCGTCTTGTACATGCAACAACATTTAAGTGTTACAGTATTACTTGAAGCCATATTGTAAAATTATAACTAATTAAAATAAAGTTGTTGTGATATTTGTTGTTTTTTTTTCCACAGTATTAAAAAATGTTGTCACGGTTCTTAATTTTTAAATATTTTGGATTTTTTAAGGGGGCAAACGAGCAGGACGAAACCCTGATTTTAAGTGATACCGCCGCCGCCCATAGACACTCACGCTGCCAGAGGGCTCGCAAATTGCCAGCCTTTTAAGAATTGGTTTGGAAATACCTACATCGGTGGTCAGGTGGCTCCGCTAGTAATTCTTATCAGTAGTAATATATATTTTCAGTTACAAAAATATTTTATAATATATGTATAGATGTTGTTTTAGGCCTAACCACCTCAGACGTCAAATCACGATGATTTCCTTCACTATACAAGCTGCTGCTACTGAATGCTTGGCCTATGGGTTACCAATTTTTTGGTTCTAATATAGTAGTACCTACAAGTCACATACAAAAATACGCCAAAAACTATATAAGTATGAAGTAGCGGCCTGTACTGGCTTCTATGACTGGACATTTTTATATTTTGGAAAAAGTAAAGTCAATCTTACTGAGGTATGATGTAGGATTCTAATAGTGAGACAATTGAATTGGATTTAGTTCAGTGAGTTTATTCGTAACAAAAATACAAACCTTAAGGTTACATAGACAATTACTTTGATTGTCTTTGATATGAGCATAGGTTTGTCTATCTGTGGAAAACTGATGAACCGTTACTGAAATGTCCACTCCTGTCATCTATCTAGATCCGATATGAATTTAAAAAAATGGCATGTCGCAAAAAATCTATTTTATATATTAAAATGAGTTAATGTAACGAAATTCATCAATTAATAATTATAATTTTAAAGCACGTCGTGTCGCGATATTCTACGGTATAACTTTTATTTCAAATGCCTTATTGTAATATTGGGTTAAATTAACGCGTATTTCCATATATCTGTAAATAGGTATCACGTAAATAAAGTTAATATAAAAGTCAAATAACTGTTTTATTTGAGTTTTCAATAATCATAATAATCTGAGCCATTTTCAACTTCCACGTAGAAGTCCTGAATTTTCTTGCATTGTGTTTTTTCATTTACCGGTTTCTTATTTATCATAACCGACTTTATCTGTTTAAACCATTCTCTGGAACTATATTTATACATTTTCTTTTTTGGTTTTTTATAAATCGTTACAGCATTCTTTTTGAAATCGAGATTATTCAGTAACGGTTTTATACCACTCGATGTTGCCAGTTGATGAACTTTGCTTGTAATAATTTTTTCCTTCAAGTTCTCTCTTTTGTTTTTTAGGTTATGTAATAAATCAAGTATAATGTGTTTGTCATTTTTAGCAATGTCATGATGAGGGGTTATATAACCGCAATCATCTACGCATGCGTAATTAGTTTGACCACTTTTCATTACACGAGAGTAAATTATTTGATTGGTTGAATTTATTATACGAAATGTGATTGAATCTTGGTTTATCTGTAATCGATATAGTGAATGTAAACGAAATAGGTCTAATATATATTATAGCTTTTGCTGCCCAGAAATATGGTAAGAACGCCAATATGACGCGAGATGTGCTAATAATACGCCTGCGCTAATTGCAATTCGGGAAAATGTTTTGTAAATTATTAAATATTTGATTTTTACGTATGGACTTATATAGTATATGAATCATGACATGAAAGAGTGTTCTGACTATATTATGCTTGCAAATATATATTTATGTAATTAATTGTTTAAGTGACAGGAATATTTTTATTTGTTATTACCGAATATAATGTTGTTATTTCGCAATTATCTCTTCCTTGGCAGATCTTTATCGAATTCTCGCTTCCAGAGTAATTACGAAGAATCCTCCATTTTGTTTCCATTGGATTACTACATGTTTCCATAAATTTATCCAAGCTAATTATCTGAGGACACTGCTCAAATGGTTTATAATATTGTGTTATATTAATAACACATAATATTTTTGGTTGTATTATCGAGTAGATTTCATAAGGGCAAGGTGGATTTTTATCTATAATCTGAAAAAGACAATACATATGGCATTTTATAACTCATTAGTTATCATTGATATTTAAACCATAGAGGAAGCATTCTTTGACGGCACAAAATTTATTCATTAAAAATAAATTTTAACGATTTTCAATAAAAAGTAATTATACAGTAGTAACAGTGCGCATATATTAAGATTCCATTCTACCATTCGTGGTATAAAACGCATTTTTTTTCTATGAAATTGTAAACCTTTGTGCCTATATAACTCATGAAATAGGTCAAAAAATCGCCTTCTTAAATTAATCAATAAAAAGTTTTCAATTTAATAATACCAACCCAATAGCCATTGTAGCATTTAGCACACGAAATATTTAAGTAATTCTGACACTTGTAGCACACAACTGTTTCATTATTGTTTATATTTATCTTCCTCCATGTTCGCCAGTGAAATCCTCTTTTATAGACATATGTAACTCCATTCATAGTTAAAAAGTTTCTGAAGATGTTTTCGTAGTCTTTGGAGTTATTTTCACTTATTTTCGTGTGTAGTATATTTTCTGAGTACACAGTGTTAGTTGATAAAGTGTCAAATAACTTCAATCTCATGTCTTGATTTTTACTCTCCATTTTCCTATCAAGAAATCTTCGTCTTAAATTGTATCTTTCTGTTATCGAATGAAAATCATAGTCAGGGAAGATCCATCGTTCGTTTAATTCAATTTCCCAAGTAACTTTTGAAAAAAATACTAGTGCAAATAATTTCAAAAGCATATTCCAGTCACCACTTTAAAACTACGAAATCGACTAAAAGGTTGTAAACCAGTAAAGTATTATGCTTTGTCTAATGTTTATAAATAATTGACTCGCTATCGGAATATTCATTTTGTATGTTACATGAGAAAGTTAAAACTGTTCGCTTGCCGGCAAGTACTGTAAATTGTAATTTAAATTTCAACGTGTTGTAGTAAAAAATATTGACAAACTGCACTGAATGACTAGATATACGGGAGGGTGAAAACTAATAAAATTGTACAACCCTACAGTTGTACACTAACACATAAATGGTGAATGTTTACGGAATGTCTCCACTAAGGTACGCGTAGGATGAGAGGCTTAAGGTGGTGAAATATTTCAGGCTTACTACGATAATTAAAGTTTTGGCCTGTTTAATAAAATCTGAAAGATGCTAAAGTCTGAGCAACTTTCTAATCTTTATTTCAAAATTTTTAAATTACAGCTTAAAGTGATGTCGGTACATCGCGCACCTTCAGCTTTATAATGTTAGGACACCCGCGTCAGCATTATCATCGGCTGATCAATATTCTATGAAAATGCAATCGACGTATGGTCTCAGTCACCTTGCTAATAAGCGTATGATTTTAATAGTTAGATAAATAATAAAGTAATGCTAGTAGAAATATTTAATAATTCGGACATTGATTATAAGTGAACTGCGCTTATTGCTTATTCAAAATTTAAGTTATCGCCTGGTAGACACCACAATACCGATGAACATGGAACATTCTTGCAGTTTTAATCAGCATCGCAACAATTACTATTAACATTTTCAATACTCGGCTACAGGAACAATTGTTAATTTTATTAATTGTAGTGTTTTCTCTTGCAGAAATATTTTTTGCTATTTTGTAGCTGAAGTATTATCCTTAATTGATAGTCTAAACAAAAT